CTGCTCCTCCCCGGGGCCGCCTGCGTACCGGGGCCGGTGGCACCCAGGTGATCGTAGCCAGCCCCTTCCTCCAGAGCCCATATGACCTCCTTGCTGGGGACCACCGCCTTGCGCTGCGGCCGGGTGTGCGGTGTGAGTGCCTCTTCCAACGAGCTCTTCATGAGGCGATGGAGCTCGTCTATCTTCAGCATACCGAAGGTCTTGGAATACCATTTGAGGGTGTTCCACACCTGCCGTAGCTTGTACGGGGTGACCTCCTCTTCGGCGAGCTGGTTGAGGAGAGAGCGGACATGTCGTTCCTGCCAGGGAATCACCGTGAAGCCTCTCTTCCGGAGACTCTCGTAGACCAGGCAATGTTGCCTGAGTGTCCGGAACCTATTGTCCCCCAGGAGGTCCAATGCCTCCTTGCGGAAGTCCTCCCCCAGGATGTCCTGCATGTACGCGATGTGCTCCGCAAACGGGGCAAAGTGGGCGAGGAGCCGTTCCGCCCATTTCCCGCGCATATGGAGTTCCAGCGCTCGCTGGGTCGTGGGCTCCATTTCCCTTATTTTGCCCGGGCGCCAGTGCCTCCACTTCAGAAGCTCCGGTTGTTGGAGTGGGGGTGGGTCATCTCGTGAGAACCACCTCAATTGGTCCTGGCGGTCCCATTCATTCTCCAGCGGGGAAAAGTCCTCGCTCGGCTTGCCATCCGCCGTCGCCAGGAGGAGGAACCATAGGCTGTCCCACAGGTCGGCCAGGTCCGCCGCGGACAGAGGCTGGGGAAGCCTGCCTGCCGCCGACGCCACCAGGCCGTTGAAGTAGTCCGTCGGGACCATGCGGTCGTCTTGTCCTACCGGAATGCCCGAGAGTTCCAGGAGCTGAGAGAAGCGGATTGCCGGCTCTCCGCCCAGCTTCCTCCCCTCCTCCTCAGTGCCTTGGCGCAGGCACATCAGGACCAACAGCTCCCCGTCCGTCTGTCTCGGGGAGAAGGACTCATCCGCCAACGTGTCCCATAGGACCCTTGGAATGCGGTCCCAAAGACGTGTGTAAGGCGGGCGCATAAGAAACTTGGTAGATACCCTAGCCATGATGAAAAAGGGGGTTTCGAGCCTCCTATCGAACCGCCGGGACCCAACCGCGGCACAATGCATGCATGCTCCAACCTTGCAGAATGCAGAGTGCAGATGGAGCAGGCAGGCCACACGCATCCCGACAAGTCCCCCCCAAAGTCCCGAGATTTTAACCGGGAAAGGGGGGAGCGCGACCCAAAATCAACCCCCCAGAAACCCCCCAAAAGCACGGAGGGGGGAGACCGACCAGGCGGGGGATTCCCCAAAATTTAAGGGGACCTCAAGGAAACCAAGAGTCGGCCGCAGCCACTTTTTCCGAACCGTGGCTGAGATGGCCCGTCCTTGGGGCAGCTAATGCCTGTGGCCTCATGGTCGAGGAGATCAAGCTGCCGTGACGTGGCTCCCCTGCCATGCAACCAGAAGAACCCACGTGCGCCACCAGAATGGAATAAGAGAGGAAACAGTGGTGAAAACCGAACCCAATAAGGAAAACCCTCTCCCCCTCCCCCCCCCGGAGACGGGGCCAAAGGCACCCAAGTCACGGGAGGAAGAAATCACACGACTCCCACATCCGACAGGGTTGTGAGACAAAACCTAGCGGCTCCCTCCCTTCAGCATCGCCTCCTTCGCCACCGAGTGGATTGCCGCCAGCCCCGACTTCTCCGGGTTGCTCAGGATGACCGACCACAAGGCCGTGGAGACATCCCCCAGACCGCTCGAGGAGCTGAAGCGCATGCGGGGGGTGCTCGCGTCGCCCAGGACCAGCCGCTCATCCCTGGGAGGCTCCGTTGGCTCCACCCTCTTGTAGAACTCCATCCGATCGCGGGGGGGCTCGTCCATCGCCAACTGCAAGCAGGTGGCCTTATCCCTGTGCCACCCCGTGATCTGGAGCAGCCTGGTCCCCCCGCGGCTTCCAGAAGCCCTTACAAAATCTGCACATATAGCCCCCCGTGGCACCCAAGGGGGGGGAGCAACCCAGCTGCCGGATGAGGTCCTGGGAGTAGCACAACCTGTCATACAAGGCCCCCGCCGCCTCCTGCAAAACCTGCTCGACCCAGTCGTGGACCACATTGCAGCGCCAATTGACCTTCACCTCCACCTTGCTCAGGCCCGCCACCAACTTGGTGTAGACCGAGTCGAAGGCCTTCAGCGAGGCCAGCGGGAGGGTGATCCGTTCGTCGCAAATTGCCCTGAGCCGCATCGCCTCCTTACTGTCATGGATGGGGGCCACCGGCATCTCCATCACGGGCAACGGGCAGTTCACGATGAAATTCTTTGCCGCCAAGAATGTCCCCATCTCCTTCAAAATGTAACTCCACTCCTCCTTGCTGCGCGGCTTGGGGATGCCCAGGCTCTCCAGGAAGGGCACCGCCTCCTTCCTCATCTGGATAATGTTGCCCATCCACTTGTCCGAGCCCTCCGCATTGCGGCCCCGGCGTTGCGTCTTCACAATCAACGGGAAGGTGGTCCAGGCCGAGTAGATATACTTAAATGTGAACCTGTGGGCGTACACCCCCGTCAGGCTCGGCAGGTCCCACGTTCTCGTCTGTCTGGTCCAGAACACCCCATCACCCTTCGCCCAGAAGATACCAACCACCTGCTCAGGTGCCGGGCGCTCGCCCCGGTTCACCTGAGCTCGGATCTCCAAGGCCGTGTAGATGACTGGGTCGATGTGGTCCTGCTCGCACGTGAGTGGGTGAGTCCTGCGCTCAAGGGCCAGGAGCTCCTCCGGCGCGAGCTTAAACTGCTGGTCAGCGCCCCGGGGGATCTCACCGCTTGCGTGCTTCTTCCAAACCCCCCCAAACATCCGGAGCTCTCCCTGGTGCCGCTTCATTGCCCAGAGGATAAGGGACAGCTTGCCTTCCTCAGAGTCCAGGTCGGCTGGTCCCTTGCGGGGCCGGTGCCAGCTCGGGCATCTCCTCCAGCAGTGCCTCCTGGTGCCACGGGTTCTGCGACGCTCTGAGCATCTTGATGTAGGGGACATACTTCTCCTTCCCCACCGGGGGGATGTCGTCGGGGTCATCCAGCTCCAGGGGGCAGAATAGGCCCCTCTCCAGGGCCTTCCTGAGATCATCCGGCACTTCCAAGGGCTTGAGAGTGTGGTTGAGCATCCATGCCTGGTTGGTGTCCTGGATTCGCTTGTTTGCCGCCTGAGCCTGAATGGAGCCCATCGCCTCAGCCAATGCCTGGCTGGCGTCAACGCCCTTCCCCTCCAAGTACTGGTCTCTCAGCTTGGCCTTGAAACGCTCCAGGTTGACCTTCCTGAGGGCACGGGCTCCCTCGTTGGCCACCTCATCTGACGGCAGGGTCTGCATGCCCTATTGGAGGGGCGCCAGGATCGCCATCTCGTTGTCCAGCATCTCCTCAGTGACCAACTCCTTGTGCCGCCGCCTGGCCGAGGCCTCCTCCGGAGTTGGTTCCCGCTGCTCCCGCAAGGCCTTATGCAGCTCCTCCTTCTTCCTGGTCGCCTGGTCCACCTGGGGATGGTAGAGCTCGAAGCTCTGAGCCTCCGCCTCCTTCAGGGACCGCTGCACTTTGACCTTGATCTCCTGGCTTTCCCGGACCTTCAACGCCTCGTCGTCCGCCTCCATGGACAGGATCTCCTGCCGGATGTCCACCCGCCTGTTAAGCGGGACCGCATCTGCCATGGTGATCTCATCCGCCGAGTCCGTTTTTGGAGGGGCTCTCCCCAAGACCGTGCCGTCCACCAAGTTGCGGTCGGCCTGTGCCAGGGTACCACCGGGGCCAACGGCACCCAGGCTTCCCCATTCCCGCTGCTGGATCCAGGTCGGCTTGCCCTCCAAGATGAGCAGGTTGTAGGTGATGCCGTCCGCCTCATAGGTGGCCGAGGGTGCCTGGAAGGGGGCGAACTCCTTGCCGGGGCAGACCCAGCACTGCTTGGCTGCCTCTGGCCACCCCGTTCCGCATGCCTTGCACATGAACTTGTAGTCGGAATGACCTGCGTCGAGCCTGTGCATGCGCTGGGTGCCGATACACGCCCTGTTCCTCTGGAACTGCGAAGCCCAGACCTCCTCCTGGCGGAGCTGGATCTTCATCGGGACGTACGCCTCCAAGATGCGGATCACCAGGTCCTCCGTGAGGTTCTTCCCAACAAACTTGTGGAACAGGGAGACCGCCTCCTCCATCGTGATGTCTCTCAGCAAGGTGGCCGCCGACGCTGGAAGGACTGGAAACAGGTCCGGGAGGTCCACCAGCTTGAAGTACCCGGGTTTTCCGTCCACCGGCACCAAGGTGACAGGTTTGTTGGCCTGAGACGTAGCCTTCTGAGAAGCCGCCACGAAGCCCTTCAGTCTCTTCGTGGGTGGCGTCTGCGCCTCCTCCGGTGGTGTGGCCCGCTCCGTGCCGTCCGCATCCCCCATGTCCTTGTCGCCCTCCTCGGCGGGGCCAGGGGCACCCAAGCCGGGAGTCGGTGTGGCAAATGCCACTCGGAGACGCTCCAGTGCACTGGAGAGGTCCTTCATCACATCGGTCGCCGAAGCTGACGGGGGGGCCTCGGGCTCGTCCAAAACCAAGCCGGCCGCCACTGCCGCCTCCCGTGTGCGAATGTCCTGGGCCTCCTGGCTGGCCATTTCAACCTCCTCCACGGTGAGTGTCTGGTCCTCAATCAACTCAAAGGAAGTTGCCGAGGTTGCCGAGGAAGCCATTGCTTGGTCGGGGTTAAGTTCGAAAATGCAAAAGATCAAAGTTTTTCAATCAGCTTGGGTTCCAGGAACCCAGAACAATGCTTGAGCCAAAATGGCACATGCCATTGTGGTCAAGCATTCCACACACAGTTCATGTTTCCACATGCGTTTCAACATTAACAAATTGGGCGTGTCTTTTTGGGGGCTTGACCCCCTTTCAGTGAATGAGAAACCACTTGGAAAGCCGAGGCCATGTGTGGGAACCGAGAGGGATAGCCCGTTTCGCAAGAAATTGGAGAACCCCCGCCTCCAGCACCGCCGCCAGGTGCAGCAAGCCCTTCACCGTGAAGGTTTCCGAGCTCAAACTGCAGGCCAGCTCCTGCGCGGAGCGGATGGTATCCCCAGCCCCACGCACGCGAACCCCCGCTAAAGCCGGATCTCCGGAATAAAAGCTGCCCCAAACCTCAAACCACCCCCACAACGAGCCTGGGCAAAGACCTCGTAGCTTGAAAGCTGTTGGGGTAAAAGCCTTCTGTTATCTCACTTCCTGAGTGGAGTGGCCGAAAAAAGTCTAAACTGTTTATTTACCACCCAAATGGTGTTCCTAAAAAGTGTTTGAAGTCTGGGAACTCAGGAAGTGAGTCTTGGGGGTCTGAGTCTGGCTGTGTCTGTGGGTGGGCGGGTGGGTGGAAAAAGGGGCATGTTGAAACACGGACTCGGGCCAACCCTTGGACGAAAGAAGGCGCGGCAGTTGAACTCTTCGTGAAGCAGCCTTCCCCTGAAAGCGCCAACAAGAAGCATCCTCTAGCCTGAAACCCTCGAAGCAGGGAGAACTGCTTTGACACTTCCCTGCGCCCTGGCAAAACCCGATGCCCCGATGCCCCGAAGGGCCAAGCAGCGCACCCGTGAATCCCGCGCCTAGGCAGTCTGGTTGAGACGGTCCATCGCACCAAGATCTTACCCAAAAAGGCTCCTATCTTTGGCGTAAGAAACCTGATATGTTCTCTTCAAATGTTGGTTTCACCGGTGCCCTACTACAATAGCTTGGCTGGAGGCTGCACAGCCTCACCTAAAATAAACCAGCGCCGACACAGGACTGCTCCACAGTGCAGACTCCCCCGAAGCAACAAAAACTCTATCACCGATTTTTCCGCCAACACTTCCCACCTCTTCTCCTCATCAATCAAGTTCCCCCACGTGCTCCCTTCCCCTCCCACCTCTTCCTCCCTGCCCCCAACCTGGACATCGCTGAGGCTGGCGACGTCGCAGGGCTTCACCGTCAGCTCCACCGCGAAGTCTTGGAGCTTCTCCCACATCGGCTTCAGCTCGTCGCCTTGATGCGCGAGAAATGCGGGCGTCGCTTCATTTCCCGCAGACGCAAGCGGATGGCTCGGTTGCTTCAGATTTCTGGGCCCTGAGCTCGTGCTGCGTTTGTTGAAACTCGTTGTGCCAAAACAAAGAAGAAGAAGAAGAAGAAGAAGAAGAAGAAGGCAACTCACAACAATTAAGAAGCCGATTTACGCTGTCCCTGGCAGGATCGCCTGTCAAGCCTGGCACATGGGATCCAACCCCCTTTGCCGCCTCAACACATGGGGGTGGTGTCAAAATCAAGGGCCCTGTTTTCCGTATATCTCAAACAAACAAACCACCACCAAACCCGCCACCCCAAATGTGTTTTTTTGATTGGGCCTCTATGTCATTTGTGACACCCGTGGCTACACTGCCGATGTTCAAATCCAACCCTTCTTCCATTATATACGGTGCCACGAACATATGAAGTATCTACAAAGCATGAGTCCTGATGTTTTCCCTTGAACACCCGCAGGAGAGAACACAAACACGCTGCCAGCAAAACATGCGTTTCATCGGCTGTCCCATGATGCTGCAAATGCTTCAGCCCGTGTCTAGCTGCTCGGCTTTGGCCAACTGCATGTTTTGACTTGAGTTTGGACAAAACTCGTTTTGGCTCGCGTTTGAGGCGCAAGGTCTGGCTGCTTCAATCAACTTTGCCCAAACATGCAAGCCACAGACGGTTTGATCGAGTGTGCTTTTGGGGGAAATGGAAGGGGTCGCCACGGAGCACAGAGCCCTTTGGGTGGCCATCCAGGACGGCTTTCCCACTGCCATTTTCCAAACAACACAGGCTTTAAATGATGGTGATTGAACCAAGCATGCCTTCCTTGTGCCAAGTGTTACTGTACCTCAAGTGTGGGGCAAAGGACTTCCTTCTTAGAATCCTTTGAGAAGGGATTCCGCTCGAAGTGTTCGAGAAATGAACCTGTCAAAAGCGGCGGGCCGATTTTCTCGAAGCAAACCGAAGTGCGAGCCACGGACACGTCCATCCCCTAACCCGAGCCCTGGACGGTGCCAAGTAGCCCACAACTCCCCTGCGGGACAGCAACACCACAGACTTGGCGCCCTCTTCCAGCAACATCTTCCTCAGGCCACGCTGGCGCGGGAAGGCATTTGAACCTGAGAAGCATGACTTCTGGCGAAGCCACCAACCCGGGAACCAAACCCAAACCCGCAACCTGGGCCCTAAAATAACACTTTTGAGGTCAATGAGGCTCCAGCCCTACCAAATTGAGGTCTTGAATCTACCAAGGACTTACAGTGCCCATGGGCCAAAAGGAGAAAGAACCACGGTCTTTGGGCACATGAAATACTTGGCCTCACTCCAAGGGAGTTGGGCAGAACACTCGCAAGCTTGCCCGTGTCAACAGCCAGCAAGTGGTGCAGGTGATGCTTGAGTGCATCGTTTCTTAGGATTTCATTAAAGAGAAACACCATTTAGAGGCAAAAAGAGATCTGACAAAAAGCAACATTCCATTGTGGGTATTTTCACTGGGTACTTGCCAATGTCTGTACTCGGATATCTCACTCGACGGGACGGAATGGGTTCTATGGCAATAGGAAGCGGCCTCAGTCATGAATGTCCTAACGATGCTCCACGAGAACACCACTGCCTCCGTTGCCAAAATCCAAGCGGCTCGCATTTAGCATATGTTCATGGAGGCTGACAAACTCAAAGGGGGCCAAACGTGGACGCAATTGGGCCCTGAACCCGGTGGCTCATCGAATGGGTTGTGTATATATATATATATATATATTTGTGTATATATATATATATATTTGTCGGTGAGCCCGACCTTTGACAGAAGGTACTTCATTCCAAAATGGGTTCGATTGGATGGCTCTCATGTTCAAACTATCCCAAGGGTTTCACGTATTGGCATATTGGTGTAGGGGGCTTCCCGGTCCTTACTTTCAGCCAAACAATCGCTGGGTGGAAGCGGCAGGTTTTGAAAAGAAGAAACGTTCAAGAACATAGAAATGGAATGAACACCATCTCAGATGCCCAGTGGCCATAGGAAAAACAGGGCATCTTTCTTTGGTTGGCTGGCTTGAAAGGGAAACCCTTTCCAAAAAAAAGAAGAGGCACCACTTGGCAACTGGGCCATAGAATTGACAACCCAACCGTCTGCCAAAGCCCGTTGCCACAACGAAGGGCTGACACAAGGGCCGCTCCGGTGTTGCTTGTCGAAAGGACCTGGAAACAAAAGGTCAACCTTTGCGAACCTTGACCAATCATTGACCGAAACGGAAATTGCAGGTTAAGTTGTCGAGTTTTGGCAACTGAGTTTCTCCCTCCTCCTCCCACATCCCTGCCGTTTGTTTCTGCAAACCAACCCCGCGCAAGAAATCACGGCCCACCTCTGTCCGCAGTGACCACCTGCAAATTCTACAATCCTTCTCAAACCTGAAAGGATCTGCATGGTGAGCTGTCACCAGAGCTTGATGGCTGCAGCTTGGGCTCGTGGTGACAAGGCCCAGCGCGCCCACGCCCCCGGAGAGCACGTAGCGGCCCTCCTCCACACACTTCATGCGCGAGGGCTGCGTCAGCACCACCTGGCGACGTGAGCAAAAACAACCCCCATGTTGAAACCAGACTATGTATTGGGCTGCGCAAAACCTCCGGGAACAAAAAAGAGAGTATAAAACATGAAAAAACAAATCCACGGCTTCTGGAGCAACCTCCTTTTGAAAGCTGCTGCTTTCGGAACAGACTCTAAGAAAGCTTCTGCCACCTAACCCTTGCCTCCCGGACAAATGGGGTACAATGCCCGGCCACCCACCATGAAACCTCCCTTCATAAGAAGCAACAGTCCAATCAGGTTCTAGTGAGTACTTCATGCCATTTTCCTTGGGTCTTGATAGTAGTTGGGGGGTGGATCTCTGAAACACACCCGGAGGCCACACCTCTCTTTCTTGACCCCAACCAAACATCATACGTTTGGTGCTGGTGCATCTTAAGTGAACATAGTGAACCATTAACATTTGCAGGAGATATCCCAGAACCTCCCCCCGCCAACGGCCTTTCCGATCTGCTGGGCACGCTGCAAATAGCGCAGGGCATCGATGCCGGAGGTCAAATTCTCGTAGATGGTCAGCGGCACCTCCTTCCACCATCCTGGCAAAGGTCAAACTTTAAACAACCAGGCCCCAGTCCCATGAAAGGTGGTACTTCAGGAGGGTGTGACGTCGTTCTTGTTTGCATCAACAAACTCCTTGGGGTTGCTTTTAAGGGACACCAAAAGAACACCCGAGCTGTAGATACCCTAAAACTGGAAGGATAAAACCCTAAAAGTGTTTGAAGGGACACCAAACATCTTTTCTCAAGGAAAATAACAACAAAAACAGCGGATAGCTAGACATTCTGACAGTATCTCCTGTCGAACATGGAGGAACATTATAGGTGTTTTGTTTTGCGAGACCTTGTTAGTAGCACTAAAGGCTCACGTCCTGAGTTGACTGGCCAATAAAAGGTCGACACTTTTGTTTGACACTGAAATGTTCTTCCCAAAAGTGACTAAAGTCCATGACCTCAGGGAGTGAGAAGGACTGAAGGGAAACTCTCCAGTTTAGGGCGCTTTCCTTCTTGCAGTTCGGCATTTGTGGAAGAACTATGAAGGCTCCACCCTGAGACACCCGGCGCTTGGGAAAACACTTCAACCTTGCAGTACCTTTGGTGTAGACATCGGTGCTGCTTAAAAAGCTGGAAAACCAAAAAACGCGGAACCGTCCCTTGCCAGACATCTTCTTTGTCTCCCTCCACTCTTACCAGGCTTGGGCTAAGCTGCTGAAACACGGTTCAACACCTTGAACAGCCTCCTTCTGACCACAGCTCGAACTGGCAGCACCCGTCCTTGCTCGATCTGCGATACCAGGCGCCGCATCAAGACGTTGTAGCGCTCTGGTTGGTACTCCATCACCCAATCCTCGCTCCAGGCAAGCCACGATGCACCCAGGGGAAACCACAATTTAACACATAAAGGAACATGGCGGTAGTACCTACCACTGGTAACTGGGCTTGGGCATGGGAAACCACCTAGAAAAAAATCCAAGGCAACAAACCCGGGCTGGGCCAACTGTTCAAACATTTGGCCTGCAAAGTTCAACCTGAGGTTTCCCTTGGCCATGCAGTCAAGATGTTGCACTACACTCCCAAAAGGTAACATGGAACCAGTAACGCGGTCCAATTTTTATGGGAACCTCCATCTGAAGGATACTGATTAGAGCTCTGTGTGAATCTGCAAGAAGGTAAACATTTCGGTTGACCCCCTGTCTGCAATTTAAGGTTTCAAGCTTTGGCCCAGCCTTTTCTAAGCACTGGTCTCGTTCGTGTTTACTCTTCGTTCTTGTTCTCCAACACCCGTCCTATGTGTTCGCTCTCCAAATGTGAGACCCAAACAGAGAAAAGCAGTTTCGCTTTGATTTCCCTTTAGAAACCCAAACTGGTACCCTCCAACAAGAGACGCCGACATCCCCTGGATGTTGAGCAACCGCCTAAAATGAAACATGAAAGATCCCAACCGCCTAAAATGAAACATGAAAGATCCCAAGTGACTAAGTACCCGTGCGTCGAGGTTGCAGCTACCCAACAAGATCCGCGCTTTTTCACGTGCGGGACGTTCGGGTGAGGGGAGGGGTGATTCACGTTGGTCACAGGGCGAGACCTTCGGCCTCCAGTTGCGGATACGTCCACTGGAGCAAATGAGAACACATGTCTAGTAGTGATAGATTCCCATTAAAATCAACAGGGGAGCAGTAAAAACACAACGCGCATTTTAGCAAATGGACATTCGGCATGTCCAGCTAGGCTCATGGTCCAGCAACTCTTAGCTCGCTTGTGAGGACTCTGATGGCCTTCTGCCCGGAGAAAGCTGTCCTTTCGGGTCCCGTCCATCAGTTGGCTATTGAAATAGAAGATGATATGTTTACCAAATAAGATTGAGATATCAGATAAGATAAGCATGCCTTCCAGCTTTCTCCTTGTCAGCCAGGCAGCCAATGCTTGGCAAACAATCGCTCACTGGCGGAATGGTCCATTCCCGAAAGTTCGATTGCTCATCCTTGAAAGGCCAGTTAGTTCAGCCCATGCATTTGCTTAAGGCGCCACGAAATAAAAATATATCTGTCAGTTCTAGTCATCTCCCTGAATTTGACTCAACATAGTGGCTTGCCCCCCAAAAGCAGGGCCTGTTCTTCTGCGGGTTCCCTTTCAAACAAGTCCAAAAGGGTCCCGAGCCTCAAAGAAGGGCAAGCAGGTAACCATTTCACTCCCAAAAAGATGAGTTGGAATCCTTCTCAGAAAAACCTGAGGGCTTTCCCTTTTGAAATGAGAAATGCCATGTAAAGATCGCTTTACAATTTCTTTCACCGAGCCGCCATGGCAATCTTCTCATACTGCACGTCCGGCCGCGTCTGGTGCATCTGGTCGTGGCTCCAAATCAGGCGCTTGCCGATCTCCATAAAGCGGCCGCCCTGCAGGGTTCACTCGAAACGACACGGTGTTTCTGAAGCTGTACTGGGCGTTTTGACTGGTCTGGACAATTCAAACATTACCTGCACTTTTTTGGTTCTCTGGGGAAATCAATCGCGTGTCTGCCCCCCACGACTTTGTGTGTTTCTCCTGGGCAAAAGAACAAAGGGTTTCCAACTAGATGTATCCTGCGGATGTACTTTTTCTCACCCACGCTTTGGTGGGGGAATGTGGGATCCAGACCGAAGGCAACCTTGACAGACGGGTCTCCCCAACACCACTAGACGAAAGACCGGCCCATCATGCCGGCCTTTCTAATCCCCGTCCCAATCAAGAACATGCGCACACTTCCCAGTTTCTTGGGTGAATCATAGCCTGGCAAGCCTCAAAGGAGTCAGGAGGCTAAGCCTACGCCATGCGCCTTCTGTAGGAAGCCCAAGGACTTGGGGATGTAGTCGTCGTGGCTGAGGCTGTTCAAGACGCAATCCACACCTTCGGCGCCGTCCTCCTTCAAAAAGCGCTTCATGTCTTCCTCGAACACCTGGCATCGTGGCCGGTCAAATGCAGCGCTGGTTGGGGGGGAGCAGGGACATGTGTTGCTGAGCGCAGCCTTTGGGTTGCTTGAGCTGCCAGGGAGAAAACACATAGAACCAGTGCAGCTCCCTGAAATGGTTGGCTCCAGCTGCCGGAATCTGCGACTGCAAATGCTGGCGATCAAAAGGAACTTGTGAGGATCCGCGGTGTCGAAGCTGGGGACCCACGGGCGCTTAAAACAAAAGGAAGTTGCACATTCTGAGTTGGCAACCTTTTGAACAAGAGTTGGAGAGCTCCAACTGCTTTGGACCCATCTCAGGGGCATCTCTTCCTGGCAAGGGGACTAGCTGACCTCTTTGAATCACCCGCTGCTTGGGACGGTCAAGCCCCACCAAACTAAGCAGCTTAGTGGTGAAATTACCTACCAAACCTGACGTGGGCAAGGAACAATCCAAGAAGGGTGGCAATGGGCAGATAAACTGATCCCCGCCTTGACATCGCGGCTGCTGGTGATGTACTTCACGCCCATGTCCCTGCCAAAGCTTTCGGCTATGATTTGGGGGCAGGATCGAACAACGATTGGGCAGGAGGCAATGATTTGCCCAGAGCTGGGAACCCCGGATTAACAAACCCATCCTACTCATAGGACTGTCACCCACAAAAGTGAAGGATTTTCGCGCAAGGGAGCACCCCCGCCCCGTTTTTAAACACCTAGTGTTTGCTCATAATGTGTGTGACGAGAGACGCTTCTGGCAAGTTTGGATTCCCAAAGAACGTGGGGACCTTGATCTTGTGTTTGAAAGGCAGATGCTCACGTGTGCTCTTCTGATCTGCCAGGTCAGAAAACAAAGGGTCCTCTAACGCCCAACAAAGTTCTTTACCTGGCAAAACAAAAGCTACGGCAAAGGGCTCAACCATAAGCCCCAATTGCCCAACATCACCAGAGTTCACCCCTGAGCCAAAGCCAGTCCCCACCATCCCAGAACCACACCCGCTCCCCAGCATCACAACCTGGGCTGCGGTTCGGCCCCAACAGCGCCTCTTTGTCTTCAAAATCATCCGTTCTGCGCCCAACCGAAATGCCGGTTTGCCTTCGCAAACATTTTCAAAAGGGACACCCCTTTCCCAGTTTGAGTTGCAATCCTCGGACGATCAAGCGATTTGAGGGCACCTCTTGATTTGGGCCCCGTTTTGGGTGGTGTTTGAAGATTTAATCCAGCAGGAAACCAACTGCGTTGGTTTGGTCACCCTAAGGTTAACCCTAGCTTATTGAAGCCTTGAGGATAAAAAAAGTCTTCCGCCAAGACTAAAGGATCGCTTCTATCACGACACCCTTGGTGGATGAATCCGGGGTTCCCATTATCCAGGTTTTTGTTCGGAATCATACAGGGTAAACAAATCGCACCTTCTCATTCTGGTGGATCCCAATTTTCGAGCCAAACCAATTACTTTCATTCAGACGGAATTTATGTGGACCCACCTTCCTCTTCATGAATTCGGGGCGGGAGTATCCCACCTAGCCGTCCATTTGTGCATATTCGATTGTGAAACAAACATATATTTGCTTGGGCACAAACATGTTGCTTGAAAAAACAAGATTTTGGTTGAGAAAGAGACAGGTTTTGGTTGGACAAGCCATGGTTGTGGGAGATGACCCTTTCTATGATACCAAGTTCCCATCCCCATGACAACTTTGTCACTTTCTTCGGGGATCACCTTGCAACCACAGAACACTGCCCTACCCCCCCCCCCTCCCTTTTGGGTGTCTCAAAATAGGGGGACTCTCAAACTGATTGTTTTCCTTCTGGTTTCCCAATAAACCAACCAAAAAAAACTACCCCCCCCCCCCCCCGCAAAAAAACAACAACAACAACACTCACAAACACAGAACACGCAACCATTTTCCACCTGGGAAAAAGGCCAGACGGGCAGCTTCGCCCGCGCCTGAGATGCTGCACCTTGGTCTGGGCGCCGGCGGTGGCGAAGACGGTGGCGCCCACCCGCTGCGCGAACTGAACCGCCACCAGACCCACGCCCCCCGTGGCCGCGTGGATCAGCACGCGCTCGCCCTTCTTCAGAGGCGCCAGCTCTTGGAAGGCCTGACGTCAATCACCGAAGGTGCCTGAAAAACCCCACAGATGGATGTTCCTCATAATTTCACTTTAAAGCAATCTAAAACAAAGGCAACCAAACAGAGGTGTCTTGAAATTGAGAACTAACAAGATGGAGTTTCCGTCAGTTTCCCTTTACACCAACCTAAAAAAAGATACCCGCAACAGACAGATACGCCCAGATGCCACTCACTTCCTGAGATTGGCCCAAACAAGTCGTCAACTTGTCGGTTCCCAAAATGAAGAGCGAGAGGAAGGGTCACTTTACCTGTTGACCTTTTGTTTCAAGAATCCACCGTGGCAGGAATTGACAAGCGATGTCCGCTTCAATCAGGACCTGATTCATTGAGGAACCTCTAGACGGTTCCCACACTAAGGGGCCCTTCATCCGGAACGGTCAAACAAGGGAACCTTGGTTCTATTTTCAGTGGGGCACCCAAACAAACCTCAAAACAAAGCCTAAGGCTGCTGAGCAACTGCAAAACTAGGACCATAAATTTGAGTCAACCTGAAACTGGCTAAATAATCCCAATTTCCCAACCTGCCGTCCCTCCGACCTCCTCGGTGGTCGCGAAGGTCACAGACCAGGCGGCCATCTGCTCGAAGGACCAGGACTTTGGCTTGGGCGCCAGCCTAGCGCGAGACAAGCCTTGGGGAACGGTTTCTTTTTTTGGGGAGGGCTCCCCTACTAAAATAAACTACAGAAAACAAAGGAACCCTTAGGATCCTTACATGAAAAACACCTGAACATTGCCTTGTAAATGGTGGTTTCCCTTTATTCTGGTGTTAAAAAAGCAACATGTTTCAAATGGTTGCAAAATGTATCTTTTAACAGGGATCCTTACATTATACACCTGAAAATTGCCATGTAAATGGTAGTTTCCCTTTATTTTGGTGGAAAAAGCCATGTTTTAAATGAGCAACATGTATCTTTTAAGGAGCCCTGTTTAAGGAGCCCCGCTTAACTACTGTGGATGGTTGCGAAATCCATTTCGCACCACCGTTCAGAAACCCTGGTTTCTGAGTCGACTCCGCTGGAAATACCGACAGTTTGTTTGGTTTCTGTGGTTGCAAAGTGGTGCAGGGTTTTGTCCATCCACAGTAGGTCCTCCAGTAGAGAAGTTAAAATACGGGTGCCCTTTTTTTCTCCAGTCTATTTTAGTCGGGGAACCCTCCCAAAAAAAAAGGGTAGGTACTATCCGCCGAACATGTGACGAGTAATCCACATGGGATCACAACAGAGGCTTAGCCGGGGGCCTTTGCCCGAAATTGAAGCCCGAAACTGAAGGGGTCACTTTATCTGTCCCAATCGGACTGATCTGCCGCGCCTTGCTTCCTACCCTCCAAAATATAGGATGCGTGATTTTCCTAGTGTGTCCCTTCCAAACAAGGGAGGAAACAGGGTCGTTGAGATCCCAGGATTTGCAAACCCCAAGCTTATTTGGGGATGCCCCATTCAACAGGAGGTTCTGACACTTTCGGAGGAAACACTCCTCCCTGTTGAAGATCGCTACCCTCAAAAAAGGGAACAACACCAATTTTATCCTTCCTTGGTGGAACTTTTGGGTGACTCGCTTTCGCTTCGTGTTAGTCTGCAAGGGAGTGCCTTCTAGAACAAGAACGGAACCTGGAGGAGGGTCTCTGTTAAAGGAAACTTGTCTTCCAGCAATTCCCACGTGGAAGAGAAGGTACAAAATGGGACCAGACCCCATGTCGAGCGGCAGCAGTGCTTCGGTGCAGGCGTAGCTCTGCAAACAGCCCCAGGCGATGCCGAAGACGTCGTTCCCCGGCCGCAGCGAGGCTGCTTCCGCGCCCACAGAGCACACTGTGCCAGCGCAGTCCCCGCCAGGGTTGCCCGGGTCACCCGGGTACATACCCATAACCTCAAGGGGAGGACCTTTTGTAATGGCAAAACGGTCAGAAAAACGCGGCGCGGCCAAAACAAATCACCTTTTGGCCCAGGGTTGAGAGAATTCCCAGATCTGTGATCCCTACGAACTGTTTGCCATGGGGAGCTCCATCCCTCGTCGTTTCCAGGGCCCTGCTCATATCTCCGAGGGTGACAAGTTGAAAATCAAGGGCCCTCGATCGCACTGTAAAAACTGTTGTTCAAGTGGGGGGCCGATGTGTTCACAAGGAGGGAGCAAGGTTAGACCCTGCCAAAAAAAACGAAACCAGTCCAATCCGAACAAGTCGATAAACACACGCAAACAAATGCAACAGAACACACGCGCCCACACAAGCAACAAAACCAAAACGAACCTATCCATGCCCAACCAGTCCAATCCAATCTAAGGCAAGCAAGCAAGCAAGCAAGCAAGCAAGCAAGCAAGCAAGCAAGCAAGCCAGCCAGCCAGCCAGCCAGCCAGCCAGCCCAGCCCAGCCCAGCCCAGCCCAGCCCAGCCAGCCAGCAGCCAGCACCAACACCAAATAACAAGCAAGCATTGTTTATGTATAATTTATGTTCTTTATTCTATTTTTGTTATTTAATAATATATATATATAAAGGCAAATAAAACTAGTCAAACAATCGTCCAAACAAGCACGCAAGCCAGCCAGCCAGCAAGCAAGCAAGCAAGCAGGCAAATAAAGCAAAACAATGCACAGCACAACAGCACAACAACACCAAACAAAACACCCAAAGCAAGCAAGCAAACAAGCAACCACCCATTCAGCCAGCCAAACGAACAAACACACAACACAAAAACAATGCAACTATCAAACGAACAAACAAACAAAAAAGAAACAAAACAAACAAACAAACAAACACACACACACACACAAACAAACAAAAAAGAAACAAAACAAACAAACAAACACACCCACACACAAACAAAAAACAAAAAACAAAAAAACAAAACAAACAAACAAACAAACAAACAAACAAACAAACAAACAAACAAACACACAAACAAACAAACAAACAAACAAACAAACAAACAAACAAACAAACAAACAAACAAACAAAGCAAGCAAGCAAGCAAGCAAGCAAGCAAGCAAGCAAGCAAGCAAGCAAACAAGCAAACAAACAAACAAACAAACAAACAAACAAACAAACAAACACACAAACAAGGGAACCGAACCAAACCAAACCAAACTCAACCAACCCAACCCAAACCAAAACCCAAACCCAAACCAAACCCAAACCAAACCAAACCGAACCGAACGAACAAACAGTAAAAGTACATCAACGAACGCACGAACGAACGAACAAACGAACGAACAAACAAACAAACAAACAAACAAACAAACAAGGGAACCGAACCAAACCAAACCAAACAAAACCCAACCAACCCAACCCAAACCAAAACCCAAACCCAAACCAAACCAAACCAAACCAAACCGAACGAACAAACAAACAGTAAAAGTAAATCAACGAACGAACAAACAAACAAACAAACAAACAAACAAGCTAGCTAACTAGCTAACTAACTAGCTAAGTAACACACACCACACCACGCCACACCACACCACACCACACCACACCACACCACACCACACAAGCCACACAAGCCACACAAGCCACACAACGCAACCTAAACTAATACGACACAACACAACACAACACATAGCACAACACACACAACACACACACACACACGCACGCAAAAAGAAACAACGAAACAGAAAGAAACAACCCATAGACGACAAGGAACAAGCTTCAAATCATGCAAAACAGGGGTTTGTCTGCATATTGGACCCACCCCCCGCCAAAAGAGAGAGGTGTGTCCCATTGGTTTCCCCAAAACCACCGCACCAAAGAGAGAAAAGACAACAGCAAAACCACAAAAGGCCAGGAAGCACACACCAAATAGGAACATAATCTCCCTGCGAAGCAAACGCCAAGGGGCGTTGAGCACATCCCGGAAGTTCAAGCCAATGGCGCGGATCCGTAGCTCCACCTACCGTCAGGGACCGTGTACGAAGCCCGCCCCCCCCCCCCTCACCCCCCCCTCACCCCCCACCCCCCACCCCCCCCTCACCCCCCCTCACCCCCCCTCACCCCCCCTCACCCCCCCTCACCCCCCCTCCCCCCCCCCCCCTGAGGCTTGGTTGACGCTGGAAGGGGAGCAACAAATTGAATTTTGGCAGTTAAGTGGGGGTTTCCCACTAAACCACAATCCGCAAAAATGTGAAATGTTTCCCAACAACAACCAGGCTTGCGTCCTGACTATGGAGGTACGGTCATGGGCACTTCAGTGTAATCAGGATGGGTCCTCTGTGGTTAAAGGGCTTGTGCTGTCCACTTGCTGTGCACGAACAGAAAATCACACGTGACATTGCCGTGAGGAATTCCCACCAGGCCGCAAGGGGTACCCTTTCTCCGACCTGGCAACTGATGGGCAGTTTGGCAGATGAAAGTCATGGCCTGAACTGTCCATTCCCGTTTTGGAGGGTCCACCAACTCAACTCCAGACGCGGCGAGGGACCAGAAAGAGGCACGCCTTTTCGCTGAGCACGCTCGCAAAATGGAAGCACAAAGCCGAACCCCGGGACCGGGAAGTAAACCGATCCCTGCCACCCGTTTTCCTCCTGGCCCCGCCTGCTTCGGCAGCGGCACGGGGCGCGCCACTTGAGGCACCGGGCGAAGGTTCGAAAGGCTGCCGCGGGAGGACATCTGAAGGCGCATTGGCTTCAGCACCTAAGGCCATGGACCAAAACCACCCCCACCAACCACCAACCAACCAACCAACCAACCAACCAACAAACAGCCAAACAAACCCCCTGCTGGATGTTCCTTGCCCACATCAGGCAAGGTGACTAGGGCAATTGCGCCTTGATCATGGCTGTCAGCTACTTCCCAAATCAGAATATTCATGAAGCCCCCCCCCCGTCCAGAGAACCCCGGTGACCCCTGGCTGGATCAACGCGGTTCCGTTTTCTTTTTGTGTGAAGGGTTCGGGTTCTTTTTCTGAGAGGGTTTCTTTTGATCTGATCTCTCCTGGACGATTTCTCTTCACCAATGAGCCATTGATCATTCCCCCGAAAAGGGGCTGGTGACAATTGGGGCCCAGGGTTTGGTGAGTGCTTCAAGTCCTCGAGCCAACAGGAGACCACCGTACGAAGTTATCCTTTTCTTGGGTGGGGGCCTAACCCAAGGCAAAGGAATCCACTCCAAACGGAGCATTCATGCCACCAAAAGGGCGGACAATCTCCTGGGCAAATCTGCAGCAATCCGCGTAAAAACCTCAACTGCACTGAAAAGCCAAAATCCGTGGTTTTGAGAGGAACCTCCTTTTGGGGAAAGGACCCTCCGTTTGGGCTCCATGTCGGTTGCAGGAGGAGGGTCGATGGCCATCTTTGAGTCTCCCAAACAAGCGCAACGAATGGTAAAAGCAACCCTGAAGAAGGTGTGGGGGGTTTGATTTGCATAAAATGGCCCCTCACGGGACGATTGGGGGCGCCCAGTTCCATTTCTCCTGTCTTGCCGCAAGGGGCAACTTTGCAGGGAGAGGGAATTGCACAAAGGACGACATGCGTATATATATATATATATTCTACATGTACCTTTACAGTCACAAAAAAACGTATTTAGGGAACCCAGCGCAACAGGGGGGGTCCCGCAATTCAGCAAGGCGAACCCCAGCCCAAACGAACGGAAGACTAGAGAAACCCAACTCACTTCCTGAGTTGACTGGCAAAGAACAAAGTCCACACTTTTGGGTTGCCGCTGAATGGTCTTCCCAAAAAACAAGTCCATGAACTTAGGGAGTGAGCCAAGAGAATTGCCCAAACCCTAGACCTCTTGTGGGACCCCTTAAGTGGTGCCACCAAATGACAGGATCCCAACAGCAAACTCATTTTGACAACCCCACCTGCCCTGACCAGCCCAAACAAAAGGTGACTGGCGGTAAACAGCCAAGCGCAGCTGCGAACAAAGAGAAAGAGAGAGAGAGAGAGAGAGAGAGAGAGAGACAGAGAGAGAGAGAGAGAAAGAGACCTTTTCTGTGATAGCAATGTGGGATTCCCATCCAACCTGCACCCCAGTTGCCCAGTACGCCTGGCCTTTTTTTGGGTTGCCATGTGAACAACTGGGTACAAGCCCTTGCGAGCAGCGACCAAAACTTACTGACTTTCGGTTCCATGTTGTGGTCTACCAACATGGTTATGAAGGTTTATATGGGTGTCTTTTGTTAGGGGACCCCGCCCCCCCCCCCCCCAAAAAAAAAAAGAGAGAAAAAAAAGAACAACACCAAATGATGCTGGCTTTCCTTTTAGTGTTCCATTAAAACCACAAACAATGGTACCTTCACAAAGACCCGACCCCTTTAAGCCCTAGCATAAACCCCTGAAGCCAGGCAGCAGCAATAAGACGCTCAAGGCTTCTCTCGACCCTTCCCGGCGCCTGCACGGTGCTCCGCGCCAAGCGGGACACTTGCGTCTTCTCCCGCGCTGCCAGCTCCGTCTCGGGGGCCCCAGCGCCCATGCCCATCAGGGTCCCGAGGCTCTGAACCAGCGCCTCACGATCAGCGACGATCCAAGGATCGAAGGCGCCTTCAGGCGGAGCACCGTCTTCAACCCAAGAGGGTCTTGGCCTTAGCCATTTGTCTTTCAGGAAACTGAGCCTGGCTATCCCAGTTGTAGCCTATTTATTGAGTCTAACTCGGTTGAGCATCCAAAGTGGGCTAATTACCTCACCACCTCCCCCCAGGTTTGAGGGATTGAGTCCGGCTGACCTCGGATGAATCTGGGCGTGCCCCATGTTGAGGTCTTTTCGGGCTCACATGGGCTCACCCCATCCTTGCTGAACAGGGCTTGTCAACACAGGGTTCTGATTTGTCTCCGATGGCACAAAGGTCCGGGTGTTGGGAATGAAGCGTGGGAGTCCCTGGAAGGAACCAAAGGACCTCGATGCATTTTCTTTTTTTTGGTTCGGGGCTCCGTCCAATTCTCATTCCCGGTGGGTAAAGAACCCCGGAAAAGGACGTGCGTGGGGCTGTTACCTTTGACGTGAAAGAATCGGCCTCCTGGAAATGGAGGGGTTGTGAAAGACCGTGATTGTTGGACAAAGGGTCTGTCACTTCGAAGCCCCCCAACACAAACAAGAAAAAACCCGGCCGGACACTGCCTGAGCTGTCTTTGTTCATTTCCATGATGAAGCATATACCATACTTTCAGGGTTCTGAAAGACTGCCATCCAGTTGAAACGGCCCCTTGTCTGCAGCAATCATTGGGGTTTGAACCCTCAAAACGGGCCCCAAAAGCCTTAGAACGGTGAAAAGGGGGCCGGCATACAAAACAAATGCATGCCTTTTTGGCGTTTGTTTCTCGTCGCCTTCGTTCCATTCCGTGATCCCGTCCCTTCCTCGCCTGGGCCGCCTGGTCAGGCTGCTCATACGCATCCAAGTCCAAGCACCGCAAGGACAAGCCACGCTCCTGGCCAACGAGTCAAAGTCAACACCCGACAACTCGGCAGCGTGAGCCTGCGCTTTTTGTTGCTTTGACATATTGAATGGAACACGGAATTGAACTCCGGCTGAATTAGTTTGCATTTAAATGACAGCTGATGTGTGAAGATTATTTGTTGGAAAGCACATCCTGCATCCTGCTAATTCCAATTTGAAATGGAATAGTTCTAAGCTGAATTCTAATGGAAACACGATTGGAATATGTCCTAATCAAATTGTGTTTAAACTCTATTTGCATTGTAAAGTTTGATTGGGAAAGGATGTTTCTATTGCACATTGAATGCCCCACAGGATCTCCTTACAAATCAGCTAACACTTGAACACAACTTAGTCAACCATCTTGGGACCCCTGAACTTGTGAATTCTACCTAATACCATTACCAAATTATGTTCAATTGCAAACTGAAAGTATATATAATTCAACATAAAGATAATCCAATCAAGATGTCAATGTTAAAGTAGAATTTAAGCAACATGTGTTCTATTTGAAATTACAATGTACACAGAGGTTGCTTTCCATCAGAACTGTCTTTCCAAATCAAGTCAGTTAACATTTAACACTGTACGAAGGCTTGGATGTGAACTACACAAGTACACTTGAACACACAACCTCTTGCACATAGGCCTGAAACCGCAAAACCGAAAAAAAAGGGGGAACAAAAAAAAAAACGGAAACACAACTCTACAAAACTGAACAACACCAGTGCGGTTGGTCTGTCTTGTATTTTTGGGGAACGTGTGAAACGCCGAGAAAACCCACAAAAAAACAAACCAACAAGTTCAGATCCAAGTCCCCAACTTGGCGTGATATATTCCAAGGGCAGCTTTGGGGACCGCGGCTCGGGGAAGCCCCGGGCTGGTCTCGTCGGTCGGCTCCTCCATGCGGGCCGTGCGGGCCAGGCCCCAAAGCCCCGCGTGCAGGTAGCTGCCACAACCGGAGGAGGTCGCCACGTCCTCGCGGTCGAAACGAGGTCGGGCTCCAATGGGCCGAGCAGGGAAAGCCATCCCCGGGGTGGGAATGGGTGCGGGTTTGGTTTGGGATGTGTTTTTTGTGTGTTTTTTGTGTTTTTTTCCTTTTTAGATACTTGTTTTTTTTTTTTCGTCTTGGCCAGTAAAATGTCGTATTGTACAGCCATCCCCGGTTTGGATTTCCCTTTGCTTGCTGGTGCGAGTAGGGAATGAGGATAAATGAACCCAGGGGTGCCTTTGAAGGAAACCACCAGTTGGATGGTTTATAGAGGTCATTCCCTCGTTTCCTGAGAACCAGCAAGTTTAGTAGCAGTTTAAAAAGTAAGCTAAAGGTTATGGACGCTATTTAGCACCCAGCACTACTGCAGCAGTGGAGGAAGTAAAGAAGATTGCCCTTCCAATGGTAGCTGACCGGGGGTCCCTCCACCAGGAAATTGATCTTCCAGGCACCTCCGCAGAGATGCTATGTTAGTGGGAGGAAGGGTATGGGCCAAGGGTTCTGAAAGCAGAATGCCTGAAAGGGGCACATCTTAGAGCCCCGTTGAGAACCTTGCGGGGGGTGCGAATGTCGATCAGTTGAATCAAAATGAATCAACAACTTTCTCATTTGGGAAAGGACCACCCAATGAAACAACTGCGAATCAACGAACTTGCCGGCAAGCCGACGGAGGGTTCCCAGGGGCGCATGCACAACTTCCCCGTTCCGGAGCCGGGCATTGGAAGCCACACAAAGAGAGTCCCCTTGGAGCCCAAAGTGAGCGAAGGCGCCAAAACGACACAGGAAACCAGCCTGGGTGTTCGCGCCAACGAGTCACACGATTGCGGTATTGTTGCATAGCCCTTCGCCCACGGAGTCTTCCACACGAGGCCTTTAGAAAGCCGGGAAGGTTGGGGGGTTGAGGTGCCTTGCTCACAGGGATATCGAACTTGAAACGGCAGCTCACGTCACGTGGGTCCAGCGGCTTGGGCTGCATCTCGCATTGAAAAACAAGAGCTTCGTCCCTGCACCAATGCACCGCTCGCAAGGATGAGCTTGTGACTACCTCTTGGAGTCATGATAAAGTTGTCAACCAACAACGGAACGCGACCGGGTGTCAAATATAGGATCTGGTAAAAACTAAACACAGCATCCATCCCCTGTTGGAATATGTGTTGGGAAAACACACCATGGTTTCAGCGTTTTGGCACCCACTGGGTTCATCAAAGTGACATCCCAAAATAACACGCTTGGTGGATGCATCGATGGCTGAAATGGAAAACCAACTCCGAGTCATATTTTGAAAAGCTTCTCCAGGAAATAGCACTTGGCACCCTGCCCGCTCCTGCGTCCCGCAGGTCACGAAAGCCACATGTGGGCAATCCTCGCCCTTGTTGATACACGCAAAGGCGGCCTCGCGGCTCTTTTTGACGAAACCGGTCGGCTGGCAGCGGCCATGCTAACATCCTATATCATACATGGCCATGGGTCAAAAGCCCGTACCCCCAGTGAACATCCCAATCCCCACTAAAATAGACTGAAATGGGTGGTGCACCTACCCCAAAATGGTACCATTGGTTTTGACCAACAGCCATATGTGGAATTCGAGGGGCGGAGTCCTGATTTGCAAGCTTTGATGGCTGTACCGCCTCGTTTCCTTTTGCTCTTTGAATCTGCTCTGGGTAAATGATCATCCAACACGAGTGAAAAACCCGAAGGAAACGTTTCTCACTTGGCCCCGGAAAACCTTTGCGAGGTCAAGCGGCTTAGTTTGCCTGAGGACTCAACCGCTGCTGAGAGGTCTATGGCACCCTAAGCTGACCCCAGCCTCTGAAGCAGCATGATAACCCAAAAGAAGTGTCCATTCCAACATCACCCTAAGACATCTTCTGTTTGTTCAGCCCAAACGGCGATCAATGCTTGAATCTCCTCCAAGCGAGGAACTCTCACAACTCCTGGAATATAAGGATATCACATCACAGTTGTGGCAGAGAGGTTATCAACTATAACATCATATTGTAAAATGATACACAACGTGTGTACGTAAGGTTACGTTTTAACCTCCAACAAAACGAGAACAAAACCTGGAACCCCTGCATGTCGCAGAGCCTGGGTCAGCTTCACAGCATCCTCCAGGACCACCAGCTCCGGCGCTTCCTTGCAGGGTTAGTGTCCAGGGGTCTGAGAGGAATCACATGCAATGCTTGCTCCAGGCAACTGGAACGGGCAAGAGAGACGAGCAAAGAAACATGTCTGACAGAGGGCCCTGTGTGTCAAAATGGGAAAGCCGCTGTAGAAAGATTGAAAGGGACAGCGAAAGCAACACACCTGACGTGTGGGTCCGTAATTTTTTAGACAGGCCCATGGTTGGACAACCCCCCTACCTCAAGAGAAACAACTCCCCTACCTCAAGAGAAAGGGAGGTGGGCTCCCCCGAGTTTTCCCCGCAAAAGGGAAAATGAAACTGTAAACGAAATCCCGGGGACGCCTTCCCTCGATTCCACTTCGTGGGGATATACCTTGCCGAAGGATGACAAGATAAGCAAAGCGGTCTCCAACCATCATCAGAATGCTGCCAAACACTACTGCTCAAGAAAGTGGTTAGAGCTTCAGTTACATGCCAGCCGTGAGGTTTTTAAAAAATATGGGTCAATCGGGGGCAGTTTGATGGACATGATTTACACAGGATGCACGCACCATGTTGGAGGCGGTGATTCATTTGGGGATGCTCATGGAACCAAGAAATCTTAGGATGCAGAAGCAACTGCAACATTCATGTGACAACCATGACTTTACAAGCATGACTAGCAAATGGCAATTCTGTAGCATCTATAACATCTATTACATCCGGGATTAATGATTACATGCTTGATCCCGAAAGTTCAGACTGCTTACAGTACCGTATTCCCTCCCTCTCCTACTAACATGCAACCTGGAGGCATGAATGATATGTGTTTGATGGTTTCTGAGGGAACCCAAAGCTTGACATTGAACGCCACGTTTGCTTAGATATGTTTATAGGGAAACCCAGCTCACATTTTGAAACAACATCTTATCATGTCGGATGCCTTAGAAGAGGAAGACAACAGCGAAGAATGTTCCGCCGTGTCTTTCGCGAAGGCCCCCTCCCCATTCGTCGATGCTCGTCCTGCAGCGCTGCCAAGAGAACCACGGCCTTGAGCCCCTTGAGCTCCACGGCCACGCTGTCAGCGAAGCTGGCCTGCGGAGTTGGGGTCGGTCCCAACATAGGAGACCCAACTCAGCCTCCCAGCATGGACCGTAGAAACTCAAAGACAAGTTTCGTCCAGGTCCGAAGTCCCCTTCTTGGCTCGGTCATACCAACCTCCTTCTTGAACAGTCCAAGCTCAAACGGTCTCTACGTGCAACCAAATACTTGTCCCTTGTCAAAACGCATCCAGAAAGCATTCGCAGGACGCGCCTTTGGCAGCAGGGCCCGAAGAGGATCTTGCAGCAGCGGGGCACCTGGACCAACGCTGCAGGGCTTCACCGGGTTTAATCAACACAAATGCCAGGAACAGCGCTGCCAGTTGGAAGTTCCTCAGCTTGGCAGAGCTCCATCGCCCCAACTCGGGCGTGTGAATATTGACCGACGGAACTGCTGGCCCAGCTCTGCATTGGTTCGCATGCAAAAAGCGCATGAGGCATATACATGACATGCACAAAACTGTGGAAACTGGGCGACACCAACTCAGTTCGCATGCTGGGCCCTCGGGCCGACAAAAAGCACGCCAGCGCCATCCTTCGCCGCAGCGGGTGTGCCGTCCATGTTGGTCCACTCCACCTGCCGAATCGGAGGGAGCCGACCCCATGCCAGGTCCGCCAGGGATCCTTTTAGCCCCTCAAACCTGAACGACTGGACGATTTCCCAGCCATCCCCCCCTTCAATGTATGTCCTTCTTTCCACAAAGAGAAGCTGTGCGGAAAAGGGCCTCTTTGTTGGGGGAGTGCCCCCACACCAGCCAAGACCAAGCCCTTAAACTCCTTGCAATCACCACCATGCTATATCCTTCAAACATGAAAAGCATGGATCCTTCAAAATGGTAAACGTTAAACATATTGCAACGGTGGAAGGTGCCCTGCAGTCAGTACAGATTCAATGGTTGTCAAGGCACTGTGCCTCTGACTGTCACAAGGCCTCGAAGTTGACTCGCGGACGCAAAAAGACACGCAGCCCGAAAGCTATGTACAGTCAATCAAACGGCGGGGTCCAAATGTGACAATGCCCTGCCAAAAAATGCGCAAGAACTCTGTTGCCTGCGAAGCATTTAGGTCATGACGGCCAATGGAAAGTTTACAGTGCGCTCACACAATGTAACGGCAAACAGAAGAGCACACGTCTCCCCGCCAGTTGTCCCAAAAATGCCTTGTTGGATGGTCTTGAAGGGAAACCAAATGGGAACCAGCGACTTGGAGCTTCAGAAATGCCCACCTCGGCGTGGTCGAATCGTCTGTCTCACAAAACCGGCGCTCTGCAGGTGATTCCCCAACTGCAAGTCAACCAAGCGAAAACCACTGCAAATCAAAGAGTTTATTGGTTTCCTATCTACTTACTTGCAACACTCAATAATTCAAGATTCCGCTGGTTTCAGCTTGGTTCCGCTAATTTCCCAGCTCCATCTGACTTTGAAACGGACACCAATGTAGGGCAGCTCAGTTGCACAGAGCGGATCATTTCGCCTTTTCAGTCCGTCTGACCAACTTATACCCGTTGGCAGGTTCTCAAGCGAGCTGAGCCAAAGGACACCTGCTGGAGTTTTCTGCAACTGAACGGGCAAAAACAACGGTTCACCGCAGAACCCATACTTCCTAGGTTGTCTTCAAATGCGGGAACCCAAAGTGTCTTTTTCCCTGGTTTTTTTATTCCCCGAAAAAATGAGGCTTCGCTTTGGGGAGCTGAATCACCCTCTTTGGGAGGGGGTTTCAAGACTACTCCTCAGAGTGACATGGAACCAAAGACGGCCACTCTGTTGAGGATTGGAATGTGCTGTTGGGGGACTCCAACTGCAACTCCGAGTGGCAGCAGTTTCCTTCCCTGCCTGCAAAATGTCCTCCTCCACATCGTCGGTGGCTTGCTGCAACATTTTGGCCTAGGGGTGTCCTACTGGGGGGGGGGGGGGGTCTCGCCAATTCAGTCTGGTGAAGGGCCCTTGTTGAAAAGGGCGAGGATCGTTTGTAGTGGGGAACCCAACAAATAAAGATGTGGGTGCCGTGCCAAATGGGTGTTGTTTCAAAACACCTAACTATCCGTGGGTTGATTCCTCGTTGAATGGGTTGATAGCCAACTGACAGGTTTTGACCAACTGAACTGACCGGTTGCACGCCAAGCTGCAATGTGCTCCGGCCGAACCTCTCGGAACCTGACACGGAGATGAGAAAACAAGGAAAGAGGCAGAGGCGAAGGGAGAGAAAGAAGCCGGGCTGTCCTCAGATCTGCTGAAAGAACTTGTGGGTTGAATGGAGGCCCCAAACCCTAAACAGCTAAAAAGCTGCCCGGAAAATTGAGGGACACATCACCTCCAGCGCCCACGAAATGGAGGCCTTCCCAACAGTGGCAAAGAAATAAAGCCAACGGGCTGTAGGGGTCCTCAGTCCCTTCTTGGACCACCTTAGGTGGGCCAGCATTAAGCCATCTCAAAGCCGGCGACTAGCTTGACAACTCCGACTCTCTATGTAGATGGGGGGGTCCTAAAATCGAGGATGGCCTTTGGATGGAGCCTAATTAGCTTGCTTGAAAGACTTGGAGAAAAAAAAGGTCAACCTTTTGGGCTCATTGCCGGTTTTGCCACGAAAACACAAGCCCACCTGAGGTTCTCGAAGCCCATCATGATGACGCCGTCCTCCAGTACATGAGCAACGCACAAAGCAAATTGTTTCCCCAAAACTTGCTGGCGCTCAGTAGGGAATGACGGGATGGTCTATAGGGGTCATTCATTCCCGCTGAGAACCAGCAAGAAAAGGGCATGGACAAATTTGGGGGCCCCCTTCATAACCCCCGGTCGAAAGTCTTCATTCACGTCGCTTCATTCAAGCTTTGGATGCTTCAATGCCCAGCGGCCCTACAACATGTTTGGTACAGCAGGACCCGATTGACCAAGGTGCCGGCCCGCACAAATCTTTCAATGCCCACAGCACTATGGGCCAGCCATGTCAGATTCTCAAGGAGAGAATTCGCACAGCCATCAAACCTTGCCAGTATCTGGGCGGAGCCAACCCAAGATTCGCAAGGCCGGTCTCGCGGCCACCCTATAAAGAACTGAAGCCAGGTGCCAGCTGTGGCGACAGCCCTGAAAACTTGTTTCTTTGAGAACCCCTAACTCGCCCGGCCAGTGGCCGAAAGAAAAGCGTACACTTCTTGGGTCACCCAACGAATTAAAGGGAACTTCACCAAACCAAAGTGGTAAAGTGTGCACACTGGCTGGGTGAACATGTTTGGACCCTGAGGCTTCAGTCTCCTCCTTGCAGAGCTTGGAGTTCACGCAATTCTCGCGCTCGGTGATCTCCACGAGCGTGTGGTGCACAAAAATATCGGTCTGGGATCCTGACAATCCGGGGGCTCAAAGGTGATGCTCGAATCACACGGAGTGCTTCCAGTTGGCAACCAGGAAGGACAACATGTAAATCCCAAAAATAAAGCTACCTGATTGCCTGCTATAGCGGTAACTGGAAGCGCAGGGGACAAAGGAACCAACTTCTCAGCACCCAACAAAAAGTCCAGGAAAACTTCAAAACCTGGTGGTCCGCGCAACAAGAAGCCGCGGACGCGCGTCTCCGAAGGCTTTTCGCTCTCTCGGAGCTCGCTCGGCGCCTTGGCCGAAGTGGGTCACCTTCTGCACCATCAGCGGAATCCGCAGGGAGTTCAGCCCGTCCACCTCCGTGGAGTGGCGCTCCAGCATGAAGGCCATGCTGCCCTGGAAGGTTCCGTCCTGGCAGTAGGAAAGGAAACGGTCATGGGCGAGATCGTGAGCCTTTGCCAAAAGTTTGCAAGACTTTTTGTGGGTTCAATGGAAAACTCCTAAGACTTCACCCAAGTGAAAGTCTAAAGATCCAGCCCAACGGCAATCAAGCGAACCCCTTTGTCCGGTCACCATTTGCCCAGAATGCCGAGCATCGATGACGGCGGGGTTGAAAAGGTAGTTGCTGTTGGTACCATCATCTTGCGCTGCAATGCGTGCCAGCACCTGTCATCCGCGCCCACCCAGAACTATGAGTTGGGCAAACCTACCACGGCCTTCCAAGAAGCTCACCTCGTCCCCCAGTGGGGGGTTCGACCCCAGTTCTGCAAGCAATGTACCCCCCCGAAAAAACCTGACTCCAAACCACCGGGCCCCAAACCTGCAATTGGGGGAAGCTGATACTTGACGACCTGCCGGTGGACAGAACACGTGGCGTCCACTTGAATTCGCCAGGACCTGAGGGAAAGGCAGCTGTTTGGGCGGACGCTGTGGCGTCAAAGATCAAGAGGCGAACGCTCACATCAGATCTATTTTGGTGCAATCTCTGAATTTCGCTGCCGCACCCCGGAAACACCTGGCTATGTTCCAGAGAACACGCCAAGAGGGAGACGTCAGGCTTTGGTAGGCTGAGTTCATAGGGGGAAGGAAAAAAAGCAACGAGCACAGGATGCCACCACCCAGGAAGGCTGTGTGTGTAGATGCCGCAGCTTGAAATTCGGAGCTCACCGGTTCCTGAAGGAACCGACTCACAACTGGGATGATGAGGGAACCCAACTCCCTGCCTCGCACGGGGGTTCTCAGGTTCGATATGTCTGGGAATTGCAGCTCGCCAAGAGGGGCAAGGAAGCTTCATGGGCGCTTGGTCGCAAACCACCGTGCCAGCTCGAAATAAAACTTGCCCAAATCGTTGGGTTTCTACACTGGCTTCGCTGCAATCACCTCGAACCCAGGAAGTAGTGATCGATTCGCACACAGAAGACAACTGAATGTCGCTTGGTTTTGGGTTTAACCCACAGATTCTCTACCACAGGCCCCAGCATCATCCCCACGACCCCAGGGAGTAGAACTTTGCTTGGGGGTGGCGCTGGTAGCCTCTCCTAAACCACGCGACTCTGGGCTGGGGTGGAGTGCCTTGAACATAAGTTCCTTCAGGAGGTCAGAGTTTGTTTACATGTCCTTAGTGGTTTGATGACTGTGTTCTAGGATCGTACCCTCTCTTTGACACAGAAGCTGTCAAGCCCCAGGAGGAAGATGCGGAGTTTTCTTTATGGCAGAAGGTCTTGAAAGCTTCTGAAGGGTACCTGTAGATAACTGAATCGGTATCAAATCCGGGAACTGAACAAAAATACATGTCTGTAGCCCTGCATTGATTGTTCTTGAGAAAAATGCAGACACGCGGTTGACTTCGCAACGAAGACGTGATGAGGTTTCAGGTGGGGTGTCTTGACACTAAAACTCCAACGCCCCCAAGGCGTAAAATGAGGCAAACTCGGGCTGCCTCCATGCAAAGAAGCCGTGGGCCAACAGGGCTCACCTTCTGAGCCCTGGAAGACGGGGTCTGCACTGTGACACTTCCAGGCTTCTCCCCCCCAACCAAACCAAAAAACGGGCAGGGGGTCAGGGCTCTCCCTTTATCCCCCTCAAACCCCACCAAAAAAAACAAGCAAAAGGGCCCCCCCCGGCGCCCGGACGGCTCCGATGGCTCCGATGGCTCCGATGGCTCCGATGGCTCCGATGGCTCTGGCTTGGGATCCTCGCGCCTCGCTGTCCCCGCGCAGGATGTGGCGCACGGTGCGGAAGCGGGGCTGCAGCGGCAGGCCGATCTTGGAGAAGGGCACCTGAGAGGCCCCCCGTGGAGCGGAAGTTCCGAAGCGCACGCCGCGGAAGCGCGCGCCGGTGGAGAGGCACCGCGAAATGGTTCGGGGGGAGATTGTGTATGGGGTAACCCGTTAAGGTGGGTCCAAAGAGACACCCCGGGCCCCCTTCCCTAAATGGATGCCCGTTGCTGGGACGCTACGAAAGGTCAATGGACAATGGACGCCATTCGTTCGAGGTTCCCTTTTTTGAGAAGTCCACAAGGCACCCTCATGGTTGTGGAAGAGCTGCTCCTTTCTGCACCGTGTAGTCAATTTCCATTACTTCATTTTGGGAGAAGCATCTTGGCGATTCACAGAAAACATCCAGCGAAAGCCCTTCTTCCTCACAAGCATGCCGTTCGGTCCAGTCATTATATTGGGGCCCTGCTTTGGTACACCAATTCTGATCATCTCAGGGGATCCTCCAAATCAGCCAGTCAGGGTGACCTCCAAAATTGCCGAAATGTTTCATGAAAGGAACAATGTGACCTCAGAAACAAACACAAAACACAACCGCATCACAAGGTCATCACATGCTAATTCTATATGGATACGTCCTTACATAGCGAACCCCAACAATAGGCCAGGCACGGCTTTGGAAAACCAAAAGGAACCTGACCATTTTCAGAGTCGTCCACTTGGAGAGCCCTTGAAAGACTTGCTCAAAAGAAAAACAGCCCCAATTCCAATTTGGGACCCTGCTGTCCTTTGTGTTTTGCAGGGTCACAAAAGATTCCAAAACAAGGCATCGCAATTTGCAACAACCTGCATGTAAAAGAAAGTCCAAGCCGCGTAGAGTCGCTCAATGCTCACCTCCTCGTTGCATCTCTGCCGGACCTGCGTGGTCGCATCTATGAATCTCTCTCCCTTTTGGAAACTCAACCTGTTCGCAAAAGAACCGGGCAAAACCCAAATAGGTGTCGAATGAGGAAAACAACACCAATCTCAGTTTATTTCCTTTAGGAAGATTGACCATGGGCTAGTTGGGGCTCGGAAAGTGCGTGCGATTCATAAGCTTGATGGTGTATGATTGAAAAGTGGTTGTGGAGCTAGATTCCTCGGTGATCCAGTTGTTCAGTGACCCAAAGAGCAGGAAAACAAGAACAGTCTCTTTTGGGGTTCGATTCCATTGTTTCATGGGGACGCTAGCCACCATACAAAAGTGGGGTAGGCAAAGGGGGCCAGTTCCTTTTGGGGGACTAGGGCCCGTTTTTGTGTTCCGAACGCACAACAAGAAGGAGGAACACTAATAATTCCACCAAAAAAGCGGTCTCTCGTGCAAGTTGATTGTAAATGGAAACCCCCGGCAAGGAAAAGAAAACGGAAAACTACACGCACCACTGCCAACAGGGCTCATACCTTCCAGTTTCCATCTTGAAGTGGAACGCAAACTCCTAACCAGAGAAGCATGGGCAAATTACCTGGGCTGTCCTCAAATACCCTGCTAACAGTTTTTTAAATTCGGAAACCCAACCACTACACCAAAACAATCTAAAAAGCTAAGGAACCGGATGGCTGGGCTTGCCACCAAGTTGCCATAACTTCAAAAAAGAACGAGAGCAATACCGCTGCACTGGAGTGGGGGGTTGTTTCCTGCAAACCCGGCCTCGGCGAGGTCCTGGGAGGGCAGCTCAGGCTCCTGGTAGCTCAGATCCAAGTCCTGAGACGCCCCTTTTCTGCTGGAAACGGTACGGTCTGAGCCATCCCAGAAGAGTTGGGCAGGACTTTGGTGGAACAACCCAGGCCCACAAGAGGTACATGTTTTGGAAAAACGCAGGCCAAGAGGTATACCGGGTTGTTTGGTTGGGATAAGCCGCAGTCCCCGTTGAGTGGCTTGGCCCCAATCTGGTTCCATGTTGGTGAGTGGGAGGGTGAGGTAAAAGGGCTCTTCGTATGCCCCGAAAATCACCCCAATGGGAGCCACCCTCCAATTCAAGATTCTGGCCACAAAGTCCAGCAACAGGGGAACCCCCGTTTCGGTTGCCTTTCAACCTGAAAACAGAAGGCGGCGCGCCCGTGTTGCTCGGATCCACAGGGGATCCAGTTCGCTCGATTCAAAGCCAAGCGCGGCCAAGCGGCACCCTCCGCGTGGGTCGCCAGCTTGGTGCGCTCCTTGGGGTCGTAGCTACTCATCGCCCAGTGCTGATCCGGGAAGATCTCCAAATACCTCGAGGAGCCCAACTCAAAAGCAACCAAAAGCACCCGAAAGCCTAAGAGGCGATGGATTGACCCTGATGATTCATATAAGAGGCGAACAGCTTCTGACCAAGAGTCTGTTTTTTTTGTTCCTTCGCGTTGACTCTGGTGATTTAACAGGCAATCATGACTAATAGTTTAGCCCTAGCATGACTACACTTGGATTGACAGTCCGCTCGCTGCCCTCAGCTTCAGGAGCCCTGCCCCATACTTTTTCAGCATTCAAGCACACCACTCCCCAGTTGCAGCCAGTGACGCAAAGGATAGACACGTGGGCCCTTTTGTGAATGAAGACGGGCCCGAACCCAAACAAAACGAACAATGGGTGGAATCTGGTTCATGCCAAATGAACAGCTCTCAAAACTCGTTGCCCCAAAACACTAAAGCTTTCTAGCGTTCTTTGGCTAAGGAGCTAATGAATCAATCAATCAATCAGAATGCGTGATGAGTTCAGGCGCATACCAGCAGCGATTATGCGAGGCTCTGTCCATTCCGGGGCATCAGGAGACGATTGCAAACTCCCCTATGCTGTGCAATCTGAAGAAGCATGACTCCGCTCTACCGCATGCAGTGTGAAAAGAGGTGTCAAGGAACCATCCCAGCTTGTTCCCAAGCCCTCTCCATGTCCTGCCCCCGCATCTGCCCACCCCGACTCCCAGACCTTCCAGTGCTATGTGCGCTTTTCTTGGCAGGTGATTTTAAAGGAACCTCCCTCCCCCCCTCCCCCCCTCCCCTCCCTCCCCTCCCTCTCCCCTCCCTCCCCTCCCTCCCCTCCCCTCCCTCCCCTCCCTCCCTCCCCTTCCCTCCCTCCCTCCCCCTCCCTCCCTCCCCCTCCCTCCCTCCCTCCCCTCCCCTCCCTCCCCTCCCTCCCTCCCTCTCCTCCCCTCCCTCCTCCTCCCTCCCTCCCTCCCCTCCCCTCCCTCCCCTCCCTCCCCTCCCCTCCCCTCCTCCTCCCCTCCCTCCCCTCCTCCTCTCCCTCCTCCCTCCCCTCCTCCCTCCCCTCCCCTCCCTCCCTCCCTCCCTCCTCCCTCCCTCCCCTCCCCTCCCTCCCTCCTCCTCCCTCCCCTCCTCCCCTCCCTCCCCCTCCCTCCCTCCCTCCCTCCCTCCCTCCCTCCCTCCCTCCCTCCCTCCCCTCCCCTCCCTCCCCCTCCCTCCCTCCCCTCCCTCCCCCTCCCCTCCTCTCCCCTCCTCCCTCCTCCTCCCTCCCCTCCCTCCCCTCCTCCCTCCCTCCCCTCCCTCCCCTCCTCCCCTCCCTCCCCTCCCTCCCTCCCTCCCTCCCCCCTCCCTCCCCTCCCTCCCCTCCCTCCCCTCCTCCTCCTCCCCCTCCCTCCCTCCTCCCTCCCTCCCCTCCCTCCCCTCCCTCCTCCCTCCCTCCCCTCCCTCCCCTCCCTCCCCTCCCTCCCTCCCTCCCCTCCCTCCCCTCCCTCCCCCTCCCTCCCCCCCCTCCCCCCCCTCCCTCCCCTCCCTCCCCTGCCTCCCCTCCCTCCCCTCCCTTCTCCCCCTCCCTCCCCTCCCTCCCTCTCCCCTCCCTCCCCCTCCCCTCCCCCCCCTCCCCCCCCTCCCTCCCCTCCCTCCCCTGCCTCCCCTCCCTCCCCTCCCTCCCCTTCTCCCCTCCCTCCCCTCCCTCCCCTCTTTCCTCCCTCCCCTCTCCCTCTATTAGAGTAGAGGCACAAGTCCACCTCCCGCGCGAGCTTCCCCTCCTCGCCCTGCTTCAGCACCAAAGGGGCGGTAAAACCCACCTGCCGATGTCTTTGCCGCTGGGTGACTGGGTGTGTCCCCTCTAAAGGCGTGGATTTTGTTGGGGGAACTGTTGGGAATTCCCCACATGTTTGAGGGCTCCTATTTGGAGACAAACCCACTGTATCAAAATAATAGCCCCCCCCTTGCTGTGTGGCAAAACTGGTGTGGGCGGAAAACCAACGTGAGTTGTCAAACATTTGTTGCAGATAGCTTCGACATGTACCAAACCTGGGGGCCCCATTCCAGTAAAAGGTGTGCAAGTCGCAAATAAATGCCATAAACGGTGGAACCCCAACCAACAAGTCTGTAAAATTGGCCTGTTTGCCCAGGGTCCTTTTGCTTCCTGACTCTTAGGCAAGCGAGCCTGCATTCTGGCTCATTTCAAAACGAAACCAACATGAGTTGCCAGCACTTGCCGATTTGGGGAAGGCTCTTTTGTTGCTTGCACAGACCCATCTTGACCCCTTATCCCACGGCTTGTAAAGAAGGTTGGTCCGAAACACAAACATGTTCTTCTCGAGGCCAACCCAGGCTCCCATTTGGGACTGAAGAAATGCACCTTGGAATCGGTTTCGCCCCTTGCTTTCCAATGTTCGAGTCTCCCCTTCGGTGGGTTTAACGATGTAGGCACCTGTCGAAGACTTCTACCGGAAGGCCTTGCAAAAACAGAACAACGAGGAAGGGACGGGACGAAACACCAACCAGCCAAGCAACAAGGAACCCAGCAAGCAAGCAAATAAAAGAGACAGCACAAGCCGGACTGTGGTTTTTAGTTCGCGCCTTGCGGATGCTCCACTGCTTGTCCTTGCAGTTCAGGTGCACCTCGCCAACCTCCAAAACCATCTCCAGGTAGGTGGCACCGGGTACTACGATCTCTCCGAAGATGATGTGGTGACCTCGCGCCATGAACACGAGGCGCTTTTTGGGTATGTGTCAAAGGACCCCAAAATTCGGTAGTTGTTCTTGGTCCCCCCCCCAAAAACAACAACAAAAAACTACAAAACTAAATAATCCAAAGTGGGCGCTTCCCGGACTACTCCATCACTTTCATAACAACAAATAAAATGTCCGCACCCATGTCCCGATAAGAATGCCCCCCACAGTGCCATATCCACTCAGAGGCGAATTTGGATTGTGACCAAGGTTACAAGCGGACTAAGCCCAAATAACCCAGCCATAACCACGGTTACAACATTATAACCTACTTACTTACTAAGTATCGAATGTCCAAGCAAGTTTCCCCCCCAAGCAATCCGCCACAACAAGCGCCCACGCGGAGTGCCTATGCAGACTTTTCTCGGGCGCTCCTCTTAGGTTGTGTAAGGCAAAACAGGCCTACGTGAACGCCTACGCGGACTGCCTACACGATCGTTTGCGCGCCAGAATTGCTTACACAGTGCCTCCGCGGCAGGCATAGAGAGAGAGAGAGAGAGAGTTCCCCCTGAATACTAAGCGAATACATGGCACCAGGAAAATCTGCTCAGGTGAGCTCGCTGTAAATTGCCTAAATAATTGGGCGGGTCATTGCACTGGGCCCATCATGTCGGTTCCTATGGATAAGCAAAGTCCTAGATAGGTGGCATTTTTCCTTTGCACCCAGCAACTTTGGAGCTAAAGCCAAAGGGGGATCCCTTGCCCCGGTGGCATGGCAGCCCCCTGCTACTTTAGGCTCGGAACTGCAAGATATGTGTCTCGCTTCACCAAAAAGTGAAATTCGCTGGGGAGGGCTCACCCGTTGACCCTGTTTTGAGAGTGTCGCTCTTGTGGCAAAGTTTGGCTTTTGAGAGCCCCTTGTCAGGAAATCAAGGGGCCCAATCCAAGAGGGTTCGCCCAATTTGTACGGGCTCCCTTCAAAAGGGGAACTGATTCGAACCCTGCCCGACGAAACTCAAAAGCCTAGTGGTGATTAAAACAGGGGCACCCTTTTGTTGGCTTTCAATGAGAACCCCTTCCATCAACAGGAAGCAACGATGCCACGCAGGTATGGCTGATTTGTCACGGGGCTCACCAATTGCAGCAGCTTGCCCGCAAAGGGCTGTGCAAAGACCTGGCGGTTTGGGCGAGAAAACAAATCGACTCCCCTCCCTGACTCCCTGAGTGGCTCTCGGGGGTTTGCTGGATTTGCCATCTTCTGATTGCTGGCACGGGAAAAATACAATTCACTTCGTGGTGAGACAGAATGTCCACCCGACATTGTGCATTCCTTCATCATGTGGCCTGAAATCGCCGGTTGGCTCGAAATGCTTTGTTTCAGCCCTTTTGGGGGAACTGGTTGTGGAGGGAGAATTGAATAAAGTGGAGGGAGAACTGGTTGTGAGCCGACTGAGGCAGGTTGCTCTCTCATTTCTTTCCAAAACCTCGCGCCAAAACAGCCATGCCCACCAGCCAGACACTCGGAAGGCTAGACCCTTTGATTTTGGGTTTTAGTTTGCGGGTTCTGCCGGCCCTAGTACCGTAGCAAAAAGGCCCGGGGGGGGGGGGCTGTAAACACAAACTTTCCTTCCTAAGGCTTCCTCGTTTGACACTAAAGGCTTTAAGGCACGCGCAACCCCACTTGCCAGGGTCGGGTAACCCTCCCCAAATCTGGCCGAGATGTGGCTACTTGCTTCTGATTTCGGGCCTCACACCTCACAGCCCGTGTCTCCTTTCTCCCGCCTGCACACCCTCCGGGGTCTTCAGGGAGCGTGACAGCAAGGCGTGGCGCCTGCAGGGCAGCTCGGTGGTTTCTGGCAGGCAACAGACTCAGAATCAAAACCCAGGGTATTAAAGTGGTCTACCAAATCCATTTGAGCCAAGAGGGCGGCTGCACACATATGTTTACCTTCAATTCCTCAGAACTGCTGAAATCAGCTTGGCCCAAAACTTGCCACCAAACACCCTGCCCGCAACTGGGAGTTTAGCCTTTGCCCCCCCCCCGCCCTCATGGTTCAAACCAACTTGCAAAGTTGGCTACATCCAAATTCTCCAGCCAACCAGAAGGAACCAATTAAAACTGGCTACCCATAGCCTTAGGTGTCAAGTCAAGCGTTGCATGGCCCGCCTGGGCTGCCAGGCAAAGGTCTGGCGCTTGAACACGGGCGCTGCCTCAAGTCCCAGCGGCGCCAGGGCCGAAGCGCTGGCCGCCGAAGCTCCGAACTCCTCCAGCACCACGTGGGTGTTCGTGCCTCGGCGTCTTCTTTTTTGCAGTGGCTTATTTTTGGTGGGGGGAGAGCGCAACGCGCGAATCCGCCCTAGACGCCCAGCAAAGCAAAGCAAATGGGGTTCTGGAGATCCATTTCCGAAAGCGGTTGGTTGCCCTGTTCGTGCCCGGGAATGAGAAACGGAATGAGCCCAAGAAGAACTATCCATTTCCTGTGGTTTCCTTTAAGGGAGGCCCGAAACGGGCTCATTCCAAATCCTGGAAGGTCATTTTCTACTGAGCACCAGCAAGTAGTGCGTTCTTCCCTGTGGGGGGGAGGGGGGGGGTCTCTGGCTGTCAATGCTAAAAGCGGGCCCATCGTAAGAAACTCCATGGGAGTTCTAAAGCTGGGCGAAACCAGTTGCCGTTTGGTACCATCCTCTCAGTGCCAACTATTCTCACCCTGGTGAACAGCACTGTTCTGGGTCCTGATCAGTGAAATTCAGTGGTCTTTTTGAGCAAAGGTCAAAAGGAAACAACAGTTGTTGTACTTGAACTCCAGAGACAGTCAAAATAATGACCCTAGCTCGTGCTTTGTTGGCTTACGTATTCAATTGGTAGCAACCAAACATTTGTGCAAGGGGCTTCTCGGAAGGAGACACCTGGACGAAACTGCAAGTTGTTGTTTTTTTCAGCTTCCCTTGGTGGAAGAGGGATTGGTGCTTTGCAGGTTGGGGTTGTCCCATTCTACAAGAATCAGGGCTTCAAAATAGATCCAACCAATCCAAACCCTCGGGTGATCTGAAGTTACGCCCACGCTTTCCTTGCCAAAAGCGGCCCGGCCTCCAAAGCCAAAAGAGGAAAGGCCGGAGGAGGCAGCGCCCTGCAGTGACAGCTCCAAGGTGTCGGTCGGGATGTTCGTGGGGAAGTCCTGTGCTCACATGTGTTGTACCTAGTAAAACCCCTGATTCTTTGGGACAAACTCATGTGGACAGAAAACCCTACAAAAAAAAAGAAGCGCACACCTTGCTGTCAGCTTCCATGACTAACTGGAGGGACCATAAGCAGGACCCCTTTCAACCACACGGGGGCGATGCGCGATCCCCGCCTCCAGGTCGCAGTGGGGGTTCAGCGCCTGAAAAAGTAAAACCCAACATGGAAACCGAAAGGGGAGTTCTCCAAAAAGGAAACCCCCAAAGAGTCACCAGGGGGCAACCATAGATGCTCCAAATCAAATAGCCCTAGGTGATTCCTGATCAGCTTTTGGGACGAATGGAAACTCCAAAATGCAAGCCAACAGGTCTGATCGATCTAAGGGGATGCAGAGTTGCAGAGACTTGTTGAATGGGAAAGCGATGGAAAACCTGAGGAGGTCACAAGTTTAAAACTTCGAGCTAGGTCGGGAGATACATAGGCCGAACAATTCACCCTCCTACAACCAAGCACTTGGAACCACTTCTACAACGGTCAATGACACTTTCGGCGCTTGTGCGAGTTGATCAGTTGATCCCCCCCCCCACTTCCCTGCATGTCGCCTGGAAGTGCAGATTCGGGGGCGCTTTGCGCCGCGGCAGCATGGACATCACCTGCATGCGACAACGAAGGTTGAGCAATATGTGTTAATATCAAGGGAATACCAGCGAAGTACTAAGGGTGAATACTCAGGGAATACTTGGGGAATAATCAGGGAATGCTAAGGGAACTTGGTTGTCCTTTCGATGTCCCTTGAAAGGGTGTCCTCAACAAACACAGATTCACAGAAACAACAAACCAAGGGAACCGTCAACTCCTCCCCCCTCAAAAACAAAGTAACCAAGACAAGGACACAAGGGAACCGTCAACCCCCCCCCCCCGACAAATAAAAGAAAAAGAAGAAAGAAAGCAAAGAAGAAGAGCCCCCCCAACAAAAAAAAAACAAAAAAAAACAAAACAAAACAAGAGGGTGAAAACAAGACAAGATGCTCTGCCCCCGCCTTCAAGAGGCCAGCCATTCCGGCGCCGCCCTCCAGGTGCCCCAGGTTGGTCTTCACCGCGCACAGCGCCAACGGAGACGTCCGGTTCTCCCCCAAGGTGTTCTTCAGGGCGCCCACTTCGATGGGATCGCCCAAGGCCTCAAACGCAACATGACTAGAGTTAGGCCCAGCTATAGAATGTATATTTTATTGTTTGCTTCACATGGAGTCACTGCTTAACATGTAAAATGTATCCTAAGTCTACCCCAGACAAATCGAGGCAGGTCCTCCAAATCCCGACGGCCGGAACAAGTTTCAAGGAGTTTGGCAGAACCGGAACCCAGGCAGAACCAAGTCCCCAGAAAAACTCCACGCGGATGGATAGAGGAGTGGTTTACTCCAAGGATCCCCTCCACCTTGTCAACCAGGGCTTTGTCCTGGGTCCACATCGAAAAGCAGGCGCATCCCAGCTACAGGGTGTGTCTGTTTTAGGTGACCCCCCCCAAACAAATATAATATATATATATGCCGGGTTTTCCTTTTGGTTTCCCTTCAAAACACCGACCGACAAAGGGGGTAGCCTCAAAAACAGACACCCCAGGACCATCCTCCGAGGCACGGTGCCGGTGCCGTGGGTCTCCATGGCCGCCACAGCGTTGGGCGCCACCTGCGCCTGTGGCTCACCGGGCTGTCCGTTTTTTTAGGATCCCAAATGTGAATAACTTTTAATGGGTTGAATGGAAATCCAACAGAAACACTCAAAAAGCTGAGAAAGGTTAGGGGCATGGCTGGGAACCCACCAAGGTTAGGGGGGTCTGGAAAAAAATCAAGGAATGATGCAGCCGTTCCTGTGGAAATTCAGAGAAACAAATCGATAGCGGAGCCCCAGTCAGCAAGTTTAACCTACTGTGGATGAAGAAAAGTCCTGCACCAGTTGGGTTTTTTTTTGATCGGAGTATTCATAGGCTAAAAAGTACCAGGGGTTCAAATCCCCACACCAATCCAAATCACAAATTAAGAGTTGTTCTGACGACTTTTTGGATTCCAACCAACAAAAACAACAGGAGACCCCTGAATGATGCAAGGCAAACCACGAGGCAACGTTGCAACCATGCTTAGGGCAGGTTGGGACTGACTTGTTGCCTCTAGCCAGAAACAATCAGTTGAAGAACTTTGAGAGGGATTCGAATCCCTGAAAACGGGGGCCTTGGTCTTTGTTATTCTGTGCCCTTTGACTATTTGGAATACTCACCTTTCTTTGGCCAACATCCGCTACACAAAAAATAGTATCGTTCAATTGTGCTTCATATTTATTCAACCAATTTCAAAACAAATGAAATGCCAGTCAACCCCCTCTTCTTTCTTTGTGTTCGGAGGGTGCCTGTGTAGTCAACCCCAATATCGGGATCAGAGACCCAGTGGGAAAGAACCGGCCCACTCCCTGCCTCTGCCAGGGCGGTCAAAATCACCGCCTGCTGCGAGGGCCCGTGGGGGGCCGTCTGCGAGGAGCTGCGCCCGTCCTGGCCGAGAGTCCTTTCATTTCTCCGTGGTACTTACATTGGGCGTGTTTTCAAGGGAAAGAAAAGGAATGCCCACCTTTTTGGCTATTTTGACGCAGTATTATAGTAGGTAACCAAGGGAAACCCGAAGCTGGAGTTGGAAACCCTAAGCCCCACCCTAAGCCCCACCCTAAGCCCCATAGTAGGTATAATAAAAAACAACTTCCAAATCCTGGCTGCCTGATATAGTGGTAGGTGGATCTGTGGAGAACCGCAAGAAACGAAAAGGGTCTCATGACAGACCGATTTAGGCATCTGGTTGGGCCTTGGGAGCAAGAACCGGGATTCAAAAGCTGAGGGAAACCGCACAGCAAGGGATTCTCGCGGCAATGTGTGCGCGCGGTTCGGAAAAACGAAAACCCAACACTTTGGGTTCCGAATCTTTCTGAGACACAGGCCATCCACCCCGCGACCACTCCCCAGCCTGGTTCACCGCGGTGCCCTTGATCAGAATCACCGCCGAGTCCTCCAGTGATAGCAGCGCGCTTCCGCAGCCCTCGCCCCGCACGTACCCGTTGGCCGCGGCGTCGAAGGTCTTGCACCGCCCGTCCTGAAGGAGAAGGCGGTAGAGTGGTTGCTTTCCTCTTGCAGCCTGTTCCAAAAACCAACGAAATTCCAATGTTGATGCTTTCATGTTAACGCAAATCCAAAGGTCCAAAGCCCCACCAGCCACAAAGCCTTGAAACCATCAGCTCGCCAGCTCCCCAAATCCCCAACCCTCCGACCGCCCCCCCCCCCCCCCCGAATAACCACAAAGAATCTTCATCCCTCGCCCTCCCTTCTCTGCTCCCTCTGCGTATGTATACATTTACAACAAAAATATCATGTAAACATACATACATACATACATACATACATACATACGTATACATTACATTGCATTTACATTGCATTACATTACATATACATACTTGCATTGCATGCACATTACATTTACATGCATACAAATAAACATGCATGCATGCATCCACATTGCATACGTGTTCATTATTGCATTGCATACATTGCATGCATGCATTGTTGTCGTGCACATTACGTTCATGTACATATACATTGCCGTTAAATCCGTTCAAACGTGCATTCGTAAATAAATGCGTGGTGCATCACATGTCAACCGTACGTACGTACGCCATGCGTCAGCCATGCATACATCATGCGTACATGCATGCATTACGTACGTGCATGTAATACGTGCGTGCATTAGTACGTGCGTGGGTGGATTGCGCATTGCGTTGGTACATGATGGTAGGTACGTGCATGTACGATTAAATACACACGTTCAAATACGTGCATTAGTGGTACGTAAATGCGTGCATTGCGTTGCGTAGTAAATGCGTAGATTCACGATACGATGTGTAAATGCGTGCATTAAATTCATTACATTAAATACATTAAATAAATACATGTTTAAGTGATAAATAAATAAATGGGTACTGCATTAAATGCATTAATTGGTTTGGATTCGTTCGTTACGTTTGTTCATTCGTTCGTTCGTTAAATAAATAAATCGTTCGTACATACATATCGTTAGGTATGCGTGCATTAACTGGATTGCGTACATGCATACGTACGTCGTGCGTACGTTGCCTATACGTGCGTTGCATTAATACGTTCGTTCATCGTGTTTCGTTATTACGTGCGTACGTGCGTGTGCGTGCGTCGTGCGTAAGTGTAATTAAAAAAAAATGGTGCGTGCGTACACAGCCGCATTGGTACGTGCGTGCGTGGAATTGGGTTACGTACGTTTGGTTGTTCGTTACGTTTACATTGGTTTACGTACGTCGTATACGTTAATGCGTGCATGCATGCGTCGTAATACATTCGTTGCATGATGGGTGCGTTAAGTACGTGCGTGGTTGATTTCGTCGTGCGATAAGTAAACGTTCATCCGTTACAGCCCGTTTATTTACATTCGTTACATTCACATCATCAATAAGCCATCCATCACAACCATCACGATCGTCGTCTCGTTCGTTACGTTCGTAAATACATCCGTGTTACATCCGTTGCGTTTGATCGTACATTAAGTGCGATGCATTCGTACATGCGTTGCGTGCATTTACGTAATCATCACATCGTACGTCGTATCATCCCACTGCATAATATGCATGTTTGTCGTGCATCGCATACATCACATGCATCATCGTCGATACAGTCGCATTTACATACATCACATCGTTAGCCATCATACGTACATTCCATGTACATTTAAGACATACGTTACGTGCATTGTACATACATCATACATGCATTCGTTACGTTACATTCATTGTCCCATACATCCATACCATTACATACATCCATGTTACGTTGTTGTTGTTGTTTGTTGTTACATTGTACATTGTATGCGTACGTATCATGTAACGTCATACGTTACGTTCGTGCACATACATCATACATGTACATCATCATACATCCACATTGTCGCATACATGCTTCACATGTTACGTTCGTGCACGTGCGTGCGTGCGTGCGTACGTGCATTGCGTCCGTGCGTGGTATTACGTGCGTGCGTGGTATTGCGTGCATTGGATTTGGTACACGTGCATTAAATGCGTGCGTGCGTGCGTGCGAGATAGGTTGCGATGCACGTTGCATTGGATTACGTTCACGGATTCAAATACACTACAGGTTGCGTGCGTTGCGTGCGTGGTTTGCGTTGGTTTACACGTTTTTGCGTTTGGTTTACGTTATTGGTTTAGTAAATGCGTTTAAGTATGGTAGTAGTACGTTCGTTCGTACGTTGCGTGCGTGCGTGCGTGCATTAAACCTTACAAAAAGCTTCGGGCAATCGTAAGCGTACAAATAGGCGATGCGCCGTGGTACGTGCGTAAATACGTCACATTACGTAAGCATACATGCGTTACATGCATTAAGTACATTACATATGCGTGCGTGCGTGCGATACGTGCGTTCGTTGTTCGTGCGTGCGTGCGGTGGTACGCTGCGTGCATCGTGCATTAAGTAATCGTGCGTGCGTGCAGTGGTAAATAATGCGTAATGCGTCATTAAATGCGTCGTGCGTCGTGGTAAATGCATACGTGCGTGCGTAATGCGTAAGTTAAATGCGTGCGTTAATACATTAGTGCGTGCATTACGACCATTCATTGCGTGCGTCACATGCGTTGGTCATTGGTTCGTTCGTTCGTTACATAAATACATCATTGTCACATTACACATTACGTTACGTAAATACGTTCATCGTGCGTACGCCGTCGCCCGTACGTGAAATACAGTCGTGCGTGGAAATGTGCAGCGCCACATTAATGTTGAACCATTTCGTGCATCGTCGCCACAAATCACGTCGTCTGCTCCCCCAGTTTATTAAATACGTGGAAAGCCCGTAACCCGTCTTCCGAAATGCAGCAGCTGGAAATTCAGCATCAGGGGATCGAAGGGGACCCTGAATATCATGTCACAGTACTTTCCCGTCTGCATTTTCTCCACACCTGTATTTAGGGCCCATTACGCTAAATGAACATCCCATCGTTTCGTCCACAGCCACCGTCGTCCACCGTCTCTTTGTCTGCGTCATACATCGTATCCGCACATGCATCATGCATGCAACGTGTAGCGTAGAGCTAAATTTGCACTGTTCCAGCCCATACACATACAATGCAAGGCTTTGGAACGCCTGCCCCCGTTGATGCGAAACATTTGTGAAACTGGCCAGAACCGTGCTGAAACCGTTTGAGACCTTCGCGCATGACCAAGTGAAACTTTCGTGAAACCTGGATTTCAATATTTGACATCAGGGAAAGAGGTTCTCATGGAAGTTTTCCTTTGTAGACCAACTGGGACAATGGAATGACTCCAAGGAACACATTTTCCATGTCTGGAAGCTTACTTTGGAAGGCAAAGCGCAGCGGCAGCGAGAACGTGGACATCGCCAGCGTGGACATCCATCGTATCCTCATACCGTCCACATTCCATCGTCCGCACCGTTGGCGTCTTTGTTTCGTCACGAAGACTTTGGAAACATTATTCAGCCATCGTGTTCCGTCTCTTTGTCGTCACGAAGACTTTGGAAACTGCCCATATTCAGCCAGTTATTACATCCGCCGCAAGGCTTTGAAACGCTGTACCTCGTCGTATTGAAACTTGTAAACTGTGCTGAAGCTTCGTTGCTTTTACAACGTGAAATGTTTCTGATGCTGGCCCTGGAAGAAAAATAACCACCGAAAGTTTTTTCTTCAAGACGAGGAACCAGGAACTTATAATTTCTAACAAGTTTCAGGGCGAATAACCAAGGACCACAAGTTTTTCCGGTAATAGGCAGGCAGAAGGCAAACACGGCGGCAGACTTGCTCACCCCAGACAGTGGAAGCCCTAAATGTCAAGCATCCACCAATGCATGTTGAAGCGCAAACACCACTGTCTTTGTCCAGCAATCAGTTCTTCGTGCGGAATTGTTGAATAGCCAGCCAAGTCTCCGTAACCGTCTTCCAAGGCCAATGTTTGGCCTGGGATTCAACATTGTCATCAGTGAGGGGAACCCTTAAATCGTATCTGATGCTTCCTACCAGTGGACCCATTACCTTTGTTTTCTGCTCACTTGCCTGATGTTTAGGGCTTCCAGCCGTCTCATCAAACATCCATACGTTTTTCAAATAGAACTTTATCCAAAAGATAGCCTTTGGTCTGCGTACGGAAGAACTGGCGTATAAGCCATCGCTCCTTACCGTCAGGGGTCTCAACTCCAAGTAAGCCTACATTTCTGCTTTAGCCACACACGAGGGCAGGCATCTCACTTGAGTGGAACGCACCCTACTGGACATGCGATGGAAATGCATGTTAACCATTTCTGTGCCAGCCCGCTGCGTGCCAGTTTCGTTTAAACCGTGAAACCGTGAAACTGGAAGAAAAATAACACTTGTCACTGACTTGGGACTCCTGAGTTTCAACGGCCTTTGTATCAGGGAAGGAAACCGGGCTATCAGTACTCCAGGGACAGGTTTCCATAATGGACCAGTGCCCAGACAGGCAAACGCACTTGCAGAGCACTGGGCACCAGACACGTCTCGCGTAGACTTGTCCATCGTTTTTTCCGCGGCTATCCACTCCGCCCCGTCTCTTTGTTCAAATCTGGAGCACACAGCGTCCGCCCATCGCTCCGCACACCGTGTAAAAGTCGTGCGAAGACTTTGGAAGACTTTGCCTGTTCAGCCCACATGACTCGTGTGGCCCACAGAAGGCTTTGGAGACGCCTGCCTTCACGAACATGCGAGAGCACGTGAAACAGCCAGAACTAGGTAGACTTCTTTGAGTTTTCGTGAAACTTTCGTGAAACCGTGGGCATGGAAGAAAAATAACCCTGCTAACAGCTTAGGTTTCGGGTTTCCTGGGACTCCAGCGCTGGATACCCTGGCTGAGTTTCAGGAAGATAACTTCTCGGGACCGAGAGTTTCAGTCTCTGGAGCCTTTGGAAGACAAACGCTGACCTTTGCCACATCACTTACTCACCCCAGACAGTCCTGTCGTAACTGTCCGTAGTTTTCGTCAAAAAAGCGCCACCAATGCACATGTTGACACCATTTTCTGTTTGCACTC